GTGAGAAGTTGCCGAGTAAATCATACGTATCTTGCGTGCGCGCACAGCTAAATTTGGCGTCGTGCTAATTTAACTTGCAGGCTCGCCGGGAACGTACACGATTTCCGCGACGTTCGCATGTAACGGGCGCCCCTTTGAATTCATAAGCCTCGCACAATCTACACCTTCGCGTACGCCGGAGTTTCTCCGCTCATTTTTCACCGCGACCGTCCCCCTCCCTTGCCCTCGCATAAGCGCGCAAACTTGGCGCAACGGAGCGGAAAATCCGGAAAAAGTCGCGTTGCGGTTGTCTCTGTCTCTCGGATTATCAATTAATCGCGTTCCCCGGGATATTTCCACGACCCTGCCGAGGAAATATCCGCGACGCGGCGCGCGAGTTATCGCCGATCCGATTGGGCGGTGCGATCGATAACGATTGTTGCGCGATAAAACGATCATTCGGAGGATGCACGGGCGGATCTTACAACAGCCTAATGCGCAGGGGTGTGCCCGTTGAAAGGGAAAAATCGTGCGTTCATCCGTGAATGTGCACGCTGCGGGCGAAGGAGCAGCGGCATCGCTCGCGCGCGCGTAGTACGTGCGTGCGCCTCTCAAGTAAGCGCACCGAACGACCGAGAGGAAAAAAAAGTCACAGGTACATTCATATACGAGAGAGAGAGAGAGAGAGAGACGCAGCTGGATGCGAGGAGCCGCGTTGTGAAACCGGTAAGATTTTACGACCGGTTATTGCCCACCAGCGAACACACCCACGTACTAGGGGCCGACCAAGAGGTATTTCGGCGCCCCGGGCGAAACGGCGAGTCCGCGCGCTTCCATATTAAGTACGATAGAAGCGCGGGGTCCGAGGGAATTAAATCTGCCTCTTTCGAGCTTGACGCTGAGTTCATTTCGCCCTGTACACTTAATATCGCAAAGGCGGAAACGGCGAATCCGTCGGCAACGCGCGACAAACGAGGGATGCCGCGGCGTACTATGAAGGATCTTCTCATCCGCCAGGGAGGAGGGATAGGCATTCGTTCCGTTTACCGTGGCGGAACAATCGAACAGCGATCAAAGAGTGATCGAATCACACGTCGGATAACGATCGCAAAGTGTCGGGAATTGAAGCCGAGGGGGAGAGGGGAAATAGAGGAGACGCAACGCCGGAGATGTCGCAGGTGGATCGATTCGTTCGGGAGGGCCGCACGTCCCGCGCGAGAAATATTTGAATATTCAGCGTTAAACGCGGCCTCGTCCGGAAAGCTCGGCCGGTGTCTCGCGTGAGAGGTTACGAACAATGTTATTTCAGCCGGACGGCCGCGTTTAGAGCTCTAAATGCACGCTCGACCGCGTTTGAAGTCATCCCGAAGCGTTGCATTCTCGCCTCCCTCGAGGATGCCGCTCGCTCGGCGGTAAAGAGGCATCTTCGGCGGCGTCCCATCTCGCGGCGCCTCAGACATCGTAAATATCTTTAGCTTCGGAGATATCGCTCGCTCGCTGTTTACGCTTTCCGTGCGAAAATGACGCATTTCCGCGACGGGGAGGATCCGGCGCACCTGGTCGCGAGCACGTACCGCGGGCAGGTACTCGCTTATGTATACGAGGCACGATGTGCCAATATCCCTCGATCGTGCGGCAGCTGACGCGGTTTCCACGGAACGGACGGTAAATATTAGATCCGGCGCCGTTGCCGGGCACGAGAGACAGTTTCTCTAATCGTCCATCAAACTTTAACCGCGGCATATTTCGTAATAACAGCCGTCGCGCGCGTTACGTCGCGAAGCCGTCCATCCGTAGATGCAAACGTAGATATTTCCCGGGCGGGTGGACACGCGTGTCGTTCCCGGGGGAGGAAAAGCGCACCCCGACGGCGCTCTCGGGCGAATCGAACGGCAGCCGATTCGATGCGCGCGCTCTCCGCTCCTGCCGCATCTCGCTCGATCGTCCCCGCAGCTCTCGAGAAAAGGGATCTATTAATAACTAGGGAATAAGGACGAGTCGGATGGAATTCAGCCGGCGTCGAGATCGATTGAACGTTAGTTAGGCTAACGTTACAAACCGGGCGAGCTCTTAAGCAAAGGTTAAAGAAAGCCCCAGCGCGAACGAGGACTCGGGTCGCGCTCGTGCTTCGCCTTCCTGCCTCGGCAGCCGGCCGAGAAGGTTAACGCGCGGAGGCGAAGCGAGTCAACATCGGGAAGCGATCTTCCGTAAAAGGACGAGAGCCGCGCGAGTCGCTCATCCTCTTTCTTGCGCGATGGGGTTAAGTAAATCCCCTTCGTTCTTTGGACAGTCGGCCGCTCCCATCCCGCCGAGAGAAGACGACTAGCTAGTTTCGTTCGGCCGGCACGGTAGAAAGTGGAATAAATCGATGAACTTAGGTACCGGCGCGCGTGACCCGTCTTCGATCGGTACAGAGTCTCCTCGTGGCGGCTATGTCAGCGACGTTAGTCGAAGGGGGACTTCCTTTCTACCGGCACCTCTTCTTTTCTTCCCTTCAACAACGGAGTTGAGAGCGAAGTGCACTCGCTCGTCGTGCGCGCGTGCACGCCGCGTTTATTATCGCCTTTCACCGTTTGACGATCGGTACGTCATACCTGCCGCGGATTTCTAATACCGACTTTACCGGGTATATTTATGCGCGAATAATGAAGCGCCGCCGTGAGAATGCGAGATCGGCCGATTTCGAATTCCGCCGTGTCTCTCTCTCTCTCTCTCTCCCGAGAGAGCTCCCACCTGAGCTCGCCTCTCTTCGACCCGCACGATCGACGAGCCTCCTGCGGACTGATTTCTTTTCCTTCACGTTTTGCGTTGTCTCCAAGTATGGCGAATATGAAAGACAAACGTTACACTCGCTGCTCGTCATAAGACTCCGACAGAAGTGAAAATCAGATTGAATTTGGAGGGTCGTGGAAAATTATGAATTAATTGCGGTACTTTTTGTTACGCACGTCTATTAGGCATATTTTTAAAGATATCTTGATATGAAAGAATTAGATTTCGTGGTGAATATTAATATCACCGTGTCTGTTTCAAACAAAGACTTTTCCTTTCGAAAAGAAAAACCTCAAGAAAAACTTTCGTGAATTAATAAGTATAACTTGAATGAGTAAACAAAAAATATATCGATACCGATGTCAGATCATTTTTGATCATTGAGTGCCAAAGCACTCATTATGGAAATGCTCGCTATAAAAGGTTCCCGATCGGAATCGCTTAATTATTATTCCTTAGATTTCTATTGTGTTTCCAGCCATAAAAGTCCGCGATTTATTTGCGGATTCAAGTCGAGAGGAAGTAACGGGCTTGGTGACATCTGCACGTAATAAATATGGTTAGCGGATATTAGAGATCGCATTCCTGGGCGCACTTTACACACGCACCGCCGCATTCGAATAGAAAGTCGAAGCCCGCGTGTGCGATACGTAACCCTAGATTATTGTCTCGCGGCACGACAATCGGCACGATTAATCGTCGTCTTTGTAAGAAGGTTATCGACGAAACGAACGAACAAATCGCACCTGACGACCCTTGGCATCATAACTTACAGCATCGCGTCCATTATCGCGCCAGGACGATAAGCCACGTGCCCCGTTGTAATTTATTACGAAAATAATCATCGCCCACGTGAATGTTTTTCTCCCATCCTGTCGCGAAAGTCGCCGTCAATGCCCCCCGAAACGGACAAATCTCCGTCGGCGATAAATTCACCGGTTATATTTCCGTTTTATCATGCCGTCATACGTTATTCGCACTTTCCTCGCAAATTGCGTTATACGTGTCATCGGCGGACCGCAGAACTGTTTCGTGCTGTGACGAACGATGAGTAACGACATTCACAAAAATTCGTAGTTTTGTACAGAAGAAAAAAAAACAAGAAAAAAGGTAATTCATGTTTCGCAAAGCGAAAATCACGAAAATGTAAAATCGTCCGTCATTTTGGCGCAATTAAGGGGACAATCGGCGATTCCGAGGTATCGCGTATATCACGACCGATAAAACCGGGGCTCTAACAACGTTGCACGGTCCGTTATAACTTCGGTAAAAAGCACCGGTGGGAGGGAGGGAGGGGAGGCCCACCGCAGAAATCCGTGCGACATGCATACGCATCCGCACCTGCACGATTCCGACGATGCGGAAAGCCGTTTTTCCGCGTTATTAACTCGACCGCGCGAATTAATTCGGCGCAATTTTGTTACGCGACTCGCGAGAGTCTACCGACGCGACCTACTAAGATAACGAAATGCAACCCCGAGACGTGTGTTATGCATCTGCTTCGCGCATTGCCTTCTACTCCCGGGCCCATTAATTAAGATCCGCGCGATGCGCCTGCGATTATTGATTAATCACCCCGCATGGCGCATCCCGCCCGTCTGACGTACTGTAATTCGATACCGATAGATCTATGTTTCGGTTAATTGAGATAACGACACTCTCTCTCTCTCTCGCGCGCGCGCGCTTCGTGAACTCACCACGTCGCCGCCGAGAAGAGTAAGCATTTCGGACGTACGGATGAATAAGTGTTTGAGTCATTCCGTATCACGGCGCTCGGCGAGTTGGTAATAAGAAAACGAGCATACGCGCGGTATTTCAACCGCAACCTTTCTTGCGAACTTCGTGCCGAGATTGCTGCAAATCCGGAAGATTTCAGCAACCGGCATTCCTCGAATTTCGTCCCTCTGAGTACCCTGGCCGTGCTTTTAATATCGCTTTTCTGACATGATTTATATATACACGGGAGAAAAAATGTATGTAGAATAAAAAAGATATTAATATGTATATAAAAGATTATTGATAAATAAGTAAATGTATAAATATATGTTATTAATACATAATATTATTATTAATGTAAATATATATGACAAAAAAATATATAAAAGAAAAGAATATTGTACATGCATATATACATGAAAGAAAAAATATAAATACATGTTTCTCTTTTTTTTATGAACAAGACGTCGTTCATGCTTGTGTTCGGTGTCGTGATGAAAATAAATGGGAATTTTCTGGTTCGTCTGTTGCAGCAACAATAAGTCAGGATCCTGGCAGCGCGGGCAGGATTCCCAGCGATCCAGCCCTAGTCCCAGCAGGCCCCATCGCGCGCAGGAAGCGGCCACACCTCACACAGCTCCCGTTTCCGTAAGTACTTTAATCCCCCACCTCCTTCCGGAAGAGCGATACTTTTTTTTTTCATCGTCGGGTAACAATGGCCCCGTGTTATCTACGTTGGATCGATCGCGATAACATATTGTTATCGGTAGACGCTAAACGCAACAATAAATATAACAGGCGTTATTAGGTAATCTCACTCGTTCGCTGAATGAGAATATTATGTATCACGCGCACTTATCTCTCGGGTATCAAGGGAATTTTTAATTACCCGCTCGGAGCTTCAATTACTCGAAAGCAATTATGTAATATCAATTTCACGCGCGAAAAGCGAATTATTTCCGCTTCAACGGTACCTCGACTCTCATTTTCGAGTGAGCCCGAAGAGACCGATCGAGGCAGAATAACAAAGAAAGCTCGTCTTACTTTGAAATTAATTTTATCAATTTGCGAAAAACCCGTCGGGGACAATCTGGCGTTTTAATTGATAATCAGCGAGAATGTTCGTTCTTCGCCTTCGCAATCCCGAGTGGGGAAGGACGGGAATCGTCGCGCCTTTTGCTCCAAATGTGAATGTAATTAGTAGCCGTAAGCGACTACCAATAAATCGCGACGCAGGATGACTCTGTCTACGACATTCGCGCCGTTCGGTTTAAGCCCGCAGCGGCGTAAAGCCGCAAACTTACTGCCGCACGAAGGTCGAGTTAGTCGTGTGAGGCATTCCCCAGGTTTAATTAAGCCGACCTCAAGCGACGCGCTACTAATCTTTTGGCCTCCGGTATCACAGTGGCGTACATATGTAAGTCGTTGGCGACGCGATCGTCCGTCTAATTTCGTCGACTTCCATCCGCGTGCACGTGCGAGAACGGTTAAAGCGATTTTCCGGCAGAAATGCACCGGCAATAAGAAGCAGAGAATACGAAGCTTGTCGATAATAGTCCGTCGTAAACATGCTCGTGTATCCCACAATGCGTGTGGTGATTTACGAAGAAAATTATCAAAGAATTTAGGAGCGGTCGATATCACGAGATTACGAGCTTCCTCGTTTAAAATAGAAATTAAAAATAGTATATTAATCTTCCTTAAGGAATACGTATAGAGTTTCTTTTTTTTTTCAAAAACCACTTTCCTCCAACGGTAAGAAAACTCGGGCGCGTTTGACGCCCGATTGCCGCGAGTTACGTGATGCAACTCGACGTTTCTCGGCTAATACACGTTACGCTAATGCGATTCGCCCGGTTCATTCATCACCACCGCCGGCTACCTTTCCCCCTAGGAAGCAACGACGCCGGCTATTTCTCGCAGAATCCGGTATTTCCGACGTCCGCGTCCAGCTGTAATAATTCACGCGCGCGCAAAGTAATCTCTAAATATGCAGTATACGCGTATCCCCCCGCCCTCTCACCCCTTAACGGTAGGAGAGCAGGTGAATGGAGGAGGGGAGAGGATGTCGCGGGGGTGTCCGTAATTGCCGGCGACGCGGAAGCGATCATCGATCGGCGACGCGTGAGTAATGGCCGATGATGTCGGTGACGTCTCAGCCACGGCCGGTACACACGCGGATGCACGCAGAGATGCATCCGCGGCGCTTGCACGTATACCGCGCTACGTGGTGCATCGCGCGGCCGGCTGGCAACGACCTACATGCATCATCCGCAGCGACGACAGTGCGTGTCGGTTCGTTAACGTCGCGGTGTGTCGTGTCGAACTGACTCGCTATCTACCGCGTTTATGTGCGCGCGCCGGCGCGACCGGAAGCGGACATTTCGAAGCGAGAAAGCACCACGCGCGTGCCGCGAGACTTGTAGCGGCCCGCAATTTACGGTCTTGATGATAATACGCGAAATAGGCTCTCCGTGCGAACGGGAGCACGCGTCGGCTGTCTTAGCTCGGGCAAGTTTCGGTCTTGGAAATATTTCCACGAGAAATCCCCCGTTGGATACTGTACGCAGTTAAATGCAAAATGTTAATTTTAACATTTTTTCACACATGCCTAAGGAAATTCCATTCTAAATTTCAATTCGTCGTTCTCATTCGTCATATGTTACTTGTTCACAAGTAGTAAACGTTAATGAAATGGCTGACACATTCCTTCCTAACACATGATATTAATTGTTTTGACTGAAATTTTATTCGTAGCAGAAACATTTGATATTAATGAAATTGACATATATGTAATGTCAAATGTAATAATAAATGCTGTATTCACGCTGAAGAAATTTATTTATCACTTTTCTTTAATTGCGTCCTTAAGATGCGCCGTCAATGATTGCGCCTGAAATCTTAATTATGTGCCACTTAGCGTTGATAAATTAATAACGATGACAATTAATATCGTATTTGAAAAATATGCTTACTACTGATGAGATTCGAACTCGAAAATAATGACATATCAGTTGTATGTTAATTTTACATTTAAGTAATAATCAAAAGTTAGTAACACACACATACACAAAGGAAAAGTTCAACATTCAGAAAATGTTTTATTGTGTAGGAAGTATCATAGGGGAAATGTGGGGATTTGAAGGATGTGTACTCATCAAAGCCAGTAAAGATTAGCTAATTATAATGGCTCCCGTACTAATGAAGAAACACTCCGACTTTTGCGTATAACTTTATGCGCTCTCTAAGTTTCGAAACTTCCTCCTTTCATAACTTGTCCGGAATATTTGATAAATTTTGGGGAAATTATTTCTTGTTAACGAAAACGTCGGTGATCATAAATTATAATAAGTCCCTCTCTCTCTTTCTCTCTCCCTTCCCGTAAGAGGGTATTAAACGAGACTTCAGTCGAAATGAAAGACAGTCTAAGTAGTCAGTTTAAGTAGAAGTTAAGCTCAATCCGCATTTCCATAACACAGTTTAAACGAATGCGATTACACGTACACAGACGGCGCGTTTGAAGGATGTCAGCGATCGAGGCTCGAGATTCGAGGGTGCGCGCGATTCGTCCCGCAGGCGTGTACGCGGCGCGTGCGTCGCTTTCTCCGCGTGGGAATCTTAATTAGTAGAACGTCGCGTACGCGATGGCGAGACAGCTGCAGATATAATCAACCTTTGTGGCTCGGCACCGTTTGCACCCCTTTCATTTCCCGCCGGTGCGCGAAAGGATGGGCAGAAACCGCGAAATCAAGGCTTTCGTCGATCACCGCAGATAAGACGCGCTTTCGGTCGCTGCTGATGGCGCGACGATAGATCGATAAGTCGCACTTGAGAACCTGCCTGTTTCGATGATTAATCGTCACGCGTGCGTGTTTGCGCGTTCGGCGAACGGGAGAAAAACGATCTCAGCTTCGGCTCGCGAGTGAAATGCCTTCGGCTTCGACTTTCGACGGAAGTCACCGTTCTGTTCGCTGAATGCGGCCGATGCACCGCCCCCCTGCTCGTCCCGGCTGCTCGTTAATATTCGTGACCGCGTAAATAACGAGATTTCTCGCGCGCGCGATAGAAAAGTTACGGGCGAGATTGAAATTCAGGCGCGCGGTATGCGCGATTCATCAGTCGCGAGGGAAGCCGAAGGAAGCGCGCGCGAAACGGCGCGATGCGCATGACGAATTGTCGATTTGAAATAAAACCGACTGGCCCCGCGACCCACAAAGCTCGGCGATGTAATATTGGATCGGGTAACCCGGCCGAAGCACACCCGATATCGATACTGACACGGAGATACGAATGATCAAGCGCGCTCGTGCGTGCATAGTCGAATCGTGGGAAAGATACGTGTAACGAGACTTTCTCGCGAGGGTTATCGATTGTCATCAATAATTTGCTCCCGAGCGCATTCGCGCATACATCACGCCGCGCTGAAAATAAACGTGACCCCCTTCGGACTCTCATCGGGAAGCTTATTAAGAAGCGTTATTCGGAAAACGAGCGTTCGATAGTCACGTTGAACTATTCTATCAACTGTCACGCTGCCGACTTTCGCCGGCTATTATCGAACCCGACGTATTGTTCCAGCCTTTGCACGATCACAGGACGAGTGGCCACGCCGGGAGGGAAAGAAGGCGAATCCCCGGTCTCAGCAAGGCTCAACGGCGCATCAAAGCGTCGAGCACTCCGGCTCTTTTGGACAGGGATCATGACAGGTACGTGTATATCAGTTTCGTTTGTATCTTCCGCCAATATCGATATTTATTCGTGCAATTAACGTCCCATCGAATATTCAGTCAAGTTTTAAGAGGATGCTAAAGTCGACGATATACGTCGATAACATAGAAGCGATTTCTTATTTAGTCGATCACTTTTCTTCCGATGAATTTCCCACGAATTGTATCCAATAGGAAAATGTATTCCCCTGAGAATCACTATGAAATAAATTCTCCTATTTAACACACAAGATGCGTCTCGAAACTTGTTAAAAAGGTGTTGCAACCTCTTTGTGACTGAACATATGTGTAGATCTTGTGTAAATGTAAGTGCGATGTGAGTATGCGATATTTTATTACATATCTAACGGAAAATCCAATCGAGATACGGAAATATTTCTCTGCGAACTTTTCGCATCTTTTCAGGCTTTTAAATTTAATCGAAAAGAAGTAAAAATGTTCCTTGAAAAATTCCCCTGACTAGACCACTCACACATTCGCTACGTACAAGCTGTAAAATTTCTGTATCAGGTCAATATTTATGCTGACTGACAGTTAGAGACATCGGTTTTGACATTTTCTTCATTTTTGTCACACGTTGAGCAACGGTCCAATTCATTTTCGCGCCGTACTTTCGTATCATGTAAAGGCATTTATATGAATTCTGTGCAGCCAGCAACGACGTAAACGTTTACAGAAAGAAAGTCCAGTCCTTGCCGGCAAAGTTTTCAAGTACGGCACCCCTTTAAGAGCAGAATCCACCGAATCGTCCGCGAACAAGCGACGTTTAAGAAATGAAGAGCGAAATGTGAGATTCTCGATGTAGTAGATTACTACTATCACGATCACGCCAAGGTTCGGTCCAATTTTCCCAATCAGCCGAACGCTAATGAAAACGTTCCAGCGCTTTTGGGTGTTCGACGTATAATAATCCCACAAGAGTCTTCCCTTCCCCTCTCTCTCTCTCTCTTTTCCCCTTTCACGGTCGGAAAATTGCAGCTCGCTCGAAAGCGCGATCGAGGATAGCACCTGCATCAAAAGCGCGCCGTCGTGGCCTATATTATTCACGGAGGGGAAACCGTAGTTTCCGCGTAGGTGGCGTGTCCGTACCACCCGCGTTCTCTCCCGGGGAAACCGGGATTCGACGAAAAGGGCAACTCGAAGGGTGGTCACGAGGGCGGCGGTGAAAATTTCTATTCCTCAACCTCACGTCGCAACTATTCCCGATACGTGTCTCCGCTTCGTGTCTTCGGCCGCCGCCTCGTCTGGTAAACGCCGCCGGTGTGCATCCACCGGCTAACTTATGAAACTCGCCCGCCGCGTTAGCTCAGCACGCAACTGCAACTGCGAAATTGGGACCGCAGGCGGTGCGACCGAGAATCAGCCGACCTTCCTGTACGGTTCGCGAGCTGCCTCGCGCGCCAGGATACATTCGGGACATGCGGTGACGACGAATAAAATCCCGCCTAAGCTGCGAATTTATTCACTCGAATGCCACTATGAAAGTATGCGGATCGAGTCAGATTTCGTACGTAAGAACCCGAGGAGGTTCGTGAGGGGAATGAAATAACTGGAAAGGCGTACTTGAAATACCGAGGAGTCCTTCGAAGTTGCCGGAACGCTCGACAACTGTGCTCGTTAAGAATTTCTGATACGCGCGCGCGCGCTCGATACCCCCCCTGGAAATCAGACACTCGACCGTTCCTGCACGAACTCGGCGATTCTTTCCTTCCTCGTGAATCCCGCGGCGATTTCCACGGGCCAGTGTGATTTTTATCGATCACGAGCTCGGCGCAATGTATTAGCGTTCATACGTGACCACGGATCTGCCTTGCGAAATTAATAAAACGGCCGATTGGATCAGCACAGCGATTACAGTTTATTTGCGGAAGCGTTACTGATTAATTCACTTTATCGAGATTGATGACGCTCGAGTATGATCGCGACCTCACGCGAACATTTATCATTCAGATAACTTCAGCTGATTTGCGCGGTGATCTTGGCGGAAGTGTCGCGCGACAAGTAACGAGCCGGAAGGCTCGGGGACTCGCTGCCGGGTAATTCGATAGGCAAAAATAATGAAACTCTGTTAAAGACGGCACACGTGTGGCGAAAAATCGATGACACCGTTTTTTACACGCCTGTCGATAAAACGATGCGCTTTATCGGATATCTGTCTCTCGCGCGTGACGAAAACGTCGAAACTGCATCGGCGAAGTTAATACGGGTCGCCGGAAAAGCCAGGAGGAGCAAAACGAGAAAGCCTGACGAGGCCGAAAAATGTGCCGAGCAATTGGGCGAACGTGGCGCGCGGCGACGAGGAGTTTCCGCGCGGGGGAGGCGGAGAGAGTCACGAGATGACGGAGAACGAGACGATTATGAGACAGCGCAGTGGGAGCCAACCGTCTCCGCGGAGTAAATTGGAAACGTATGACGCCTCGCAATTTCATCCCGAGTGTCGTTCGTGCGATCGCGTCTCTCTGTCGCGGCTGCGACCTCGCCGTGGCTTCCCGCGGAAGTGGAGGTGAGCGGCTCCTACGAGAGCCGAAGAACAGTTCGCCGAACGAGAAGTGATTAAAAATGTCCCGCTGATAGCTGACAAAGACCGGCCGCGCGTCAAAGGTCGCCTGTGATCCACCGAAGGCCGCGCTCTTCGTGCTTTTACCGCGACCTGCCGGCGGTCTCTTCCGTCGTGTGCGGCCGAGTCCGATGTGTGTGTGTTCGTATAAGTGTGTGTCGCAGAAAGGTACGTCTATGGAGGCGCGAATAAGAGCGTTATTTCGGATGACCTACCTGCGGTGCATTGACTTCGGATCCGTCAACACGACACACACACACACACATACACACGTGTGCACGTCCGCCCCCACGCGCGCGGGACCATCAGATGTTCTAATTACGAGCTCTATAGAAAACGTCTCGCTCCTCGCTTTTTATCTCCGCTACTTCCGCCAACTCCGGAGAAGCTACCGCTTCCACTTGGCCACTAAGAAGGCCGCTTTGATAAGGGGAACGCAAACCTGAAAGATGCTTCCTCGTCCTACGTAATCTTCCGTCGTGTCGGCGCTGATTAACTCCGCGTTATTCCCCGACGCTTACCTGACGGACCGCGCGGATTGCAACTCGGGACGAATAACGCCGCCGGTTTATCCCCGCGAGATTCTTTCCTCTCTTTGGTATTAAACGGCTCGTTGATGTGAAAGCGGCGCGATCCCGCGGAGGATTAAAGAGGGGACTGTCTGGAGTAGAGATGTAAATTTTGTAATAAATGTCTCTCTCTTGTACATATTTGGCGCGGTTTTTTTCCCGTTCCAACCGTATAAATTCCGCGGTCACTATCGTCTCTTGCACGACTCTGCAAATAACAGAGATCGATTGGGTTAACACCCTAACAGCGGCTGTTTCCACGCATGCATCCATGCATCCATCACCAGCCACAATTAGTTTTTACCGACTTCGCAGCGAACATTGTATGTTTGGTACAGTTAACACGTTGGCTGCCACGTTGGTTTCTATCGATCGTTCAAAAACTTAACTAAAGTTCCAGTAACCAAAGATGCGGCAAATATACGCAATTCTCGGCCCGCCTGACACGCGTGCATTTTTCGCGTTTTCTTTTTTACATCGTTTCATTGCTTCTCTATCGTCCGTTTATCTAATTAGTTATACGCAATCAATTACGTATTACGTGTAAATTAATGAGACTCAATATCGTAGCACCAATCAGCAACTATCCTCGCGACATACAACTTGGTAATATTAGTGTTAACGTTAATTTGTACTACTTTATGCGGTCTTGTCTTCTTGTTTTTTTTGTATAATTTTTATTTATTATGCGTTACGGTTGTATTTCATTTATTACAGCAAAACATTTTGTGTTACAAACAGTCCATCTAAATTTGTGTGCCACTTTAACAAGATGAATGTGTTAACAAAGGGAACATATAGTCCGCGATGGAGAGTTCCCGGGAAAAAACTACACATCATGCTTATTTACAGACTACATCGTGTCTAGTGTGTAACAAAGTGAATATTAATTTGACATGTATTTGTGTTGGGAAATTTGTGTTGAAAAAGTACACAGATGCTAAAGTAATGCGAATATTTCGGGCCGATATTTAGACCGTTTTTTTTTAGCACCAAATTTTTTACCTGCGTGTATATACACATATATGTTATTTTTATTATTATATATTTTATTTATTCGCACAACAAATACCTGTGGCTGTCGGAAGTTTGAGGTAACATGGAAAATTCCACGATCCGCGAATAGCTAGCGGAACTTGAAAATATAGTCTGTTTTTCGCGATCCGCAAATAACCGGGCGAAACCGAAAATACGGAATATCCCGCCACCCATGAATAAAACGTCGGTCAGCAGTACGTGTCAAAAGCGGAAATCTTTGAACGTCGGGATCTTTATTATTATCACTGTGCCTTCTTAAGACTCTCGTGGATCACACCGAGAATAAGAGTCCACGAGTGCCGGCCATCGAACGCCGCGCGTTTCTTTGAATGCAGGTTGGCCTCCCGCTGATTAAGAAACGAACACACAATGAATATTTCCGTAGTCACTGCTCCGATAAATGATGCCTTTTGTGGCGGTCGCCGTCATCCCTCGCTTACGATGTCGTAAAGGAGGGACCGAGGAAAGAGGAAGACACGAGGAAGAGTGAGATAGAGCTTGAGAGAGCAGAGGGTGAGAGCGCCGCGCATCCCTTGCCTCACGTTCGACCTGACACGACCCAGCGCGAGCGACCCACGAAATCTGTTCCTAGAAGAGTTCACGTGCACACGTCCGCAGGCACATAGCCGTGGGCTCTTGCACTCTCCAGAGAGCTCAGTCGTCGATGGCACGTCGGCGTTGCCGTTGCTCTTCCTGTTTCGGTATCGGCCGGATGTTTCATTTTCCCTGTCCTATTTTCGTTCCTCTCTTTTGCCTCCCATCTCAAAGCTGACCATGTCACCGGCGAAAATCGCGCGGGCCTTTATTCTCGATTGTCACGAACGTTGTGCGCGACACGAGAACACCTGGTCGAGAAAATGAGCGACAGTTGTGCGTTAATTAAATTTAATCCGGTGTCAACGAACGCCTTCGTTACTCTCCTTCGCGTATTTCCTCACGTACGACGTAGCCTCCCGATGTGCGGTGGGAAATGCATTATTACATGAGATTTTCGCGAAGAGCCCAGTTTACTTCGTGCGATGGTTATTGAGGCCTCTGCGCAAAAGTGACACGTAGAAAGTGAGAGTGAGTGATACTACTTCGTGCGCGTACGGAGAATCGCAACGTTCGCAGGCAGAGGATAAAGGATTGGCACGAGAGGAAAGACAAGGCACTCGTCTGTGACAAATCTTCTTATGATGTGGTGCGTGATTCCCTAATGCGTTCATCCGATTAAACTGACTCAGACGTCCGTCTATTGTGACATATGACTGCTTCGCTTAATCGTTATAGTCCTTTAACGTCGATGATTTTCGAATAGCAATTAAAAGCGAACGATTCTCTTTCTCTCTCTCTCTCTCTCTCTTTTTCTCTTAACTAAATTACATTGTCTTTCACATAATTAAATCAAATTCTAAGTAATTCTATACACTATTGTACACACGTTTCACTGCTTTCTATTACTCAAGTTCTATTTTTGCGCTACGATTGCTTTTCTGTAAATAATTGCTTTATTTCTGTTGTTATATAAACTCATCCATTTGTTTATCGTTTATGTGTATATTTTAAATCCTTAAAGGACCTTGTCCTAGGACCGTAATAAACGACCGTTTCTCTCTCTTTCTCTCTCTTCCAATAAACCGAAAGTCTTTCAAATGAGAGAAAATAATGGCGAATTTATATTCCACGTTTGATCACAATTGGACTTTAATAATACCTTAACTTCGTATTTAGTTTCAAATATGTGTAATGATAAAAGGTGAAAGGTCGCGATAAATTGTGACCTTTCTCTCTCCCTCGATGCTTTCGCCGCGGAGAAGTAAATCGGAGAAGCTTAAGAGGACCTCCGCCGGGTCCGGTGGGGATATCCCATGTAAACACAGTTTCGCAAAAACTTGGCGATCTTAACTCGCACGACGGGGATTAGCCGTGACAAATTTTTGACGTCGGCTTTCCCTCGGACGTCGTTCGAATTTAAATCGAGAGACCTCGCAACGGGTGACCTACATAGGCGCTAACTCATTAACAGAGTATCACATTCGCGTTACCAGCGGCGTTAATAGCGAACGACGGTAATTGCGCCTCCGGCGATTATTAAAACATCTGTATAATGATAGGGTCGTGACGCGATGAAAATATTTTCCCCGTGGCTAACAAACGCGGTGCGAGGCATCCGATTAACGTCATTAAATATTCCTCGCGACGTAACGCAAACAAGTACGTTCGCACAGCCGCGATAATTGCACGGAAACGCCGCCTCCGCCGCCGTGGGATGCGATCATATTACCGGAGATACGTTCATACATTCGGCGCGAGGACGAAATAATTCAGGTGCACGGTGCGTCGATGCGAACGCGATGAGGACGCGTCCCGGTGGTGCGCGGAAAATAAAAATCGCCGCGTTGGCAATTCGCGAAATGCCGACGCGAGTCCGCTTCTTCCGCGAAACGTTTGTGAAATGCTAGCGTTCGGCCCGCGGGTTTCCCCTTTCGCTGCTCTTCCGCTGTTCAGTTTCGAATATAGTCACTTCGTCAGCTGCAGTCGGCATACAGTCGCGCATGCAGTGCCCGCGGCACTTTTGGTCGAGCACGTCCGTGATTTATCGATCTCCATGCGGTACCCTACAGTGAGAAACAACGCCGAATTTTCATGCGAATCTCTTTAGCTCACGACGAAGTCGTAGGACACGAAAAGGGATTCGCGAGGGTGTCGCCTCGTGACTTTTGATCGGAGACCATTTAGGCGCGACCAGCCGTGGAAAAACAGACGGACAGATTAACGGCGGAACGATGGATTCGCGGCGCTTCTCGTTCCTGTGAGATGAAATATTTAATCCCCGAGATCGGACGTCGATTTGAAAATTAATGAGTCCTCTCATCTCTCTCTCTTTCTCTCTCCCTCCCTCCCTCCTTCTCTCTCTCCTCTCTATGTAGCTGCGTGCACCGAACGTAAAATGGAAAGAAAATTCACTTCTCAACTTTATACGAAGCGTTCCCGGGTTGAGGCGGATCAGGCCCGTAATTTGTAAAGCCCATTTTAGATTCGCTCGAACTCCGAGCGTCCTGTGTCCTGATCCCCAGTAAAGGATTCGTTCTTTTTTAATTCCAGCGTCTCTCCCGAGTGGATTAAAGTCAATCGATAGAGATAGGGACTAGGAGATCGGATGGTATTCGAATAATTTCGAGGCTAATCCTCGATATCGCAGATTCGACCGTTGAAATTGACTTGAGGGAGGGCTTTCAGCTTGCAAAGATACGAGATCCCAGATTTTTATCCCCTATTCTGTCGCAATCGAGATGTCCTTCGCGCGGGGTAAATAAAGGTGGGATACGAATTTGCTTCGCAGCCGACACTGGTCCGGCGATGAGGAGGACGAAGGAACGACCGGCCATGTGACTACTGAGCATCCCTTGACCGAGGCGACGATTCCTCTGGTCAGTCATTCCAGGCTGCAGGAGCCGTCGTCCGCCCTGAATGTCGCCAATGTATCCACCGGCGGAAGCCAGAACGCGCATCGCACGGGCGCGCCGAGCCAGCAGGAGAGCGTGTTGCAGAAATTCCGTAAGAGCTTCTCGCTGAGGTTCCACAAAAAAGGCAGCAAAGAGAGCAACGAGGAGTGTCCTGCCGAGGATAACGACGGCTCCGGACTGTTGGATGAGGAGGAGGAGAGGGAAACGCCCCCTGTAACCTCCGAGCAAAGCAACCATCACAAGGACGATCCTAGCAATGACCAGAAATTCCGGTTCGTATCGCGTCCCTTGCCCTCTTTGACCGGACGCGATTTTTAATCCAGCCGCCTGGATGATGCACACGTTAGCGCTCTAGATTGTTCCTGACGAGTCCGCGGGCTTTTTCGCTCTCGTGTATTTTCAGCGCGCCTCTTAATACAATTTCCGTTATCAACGCGAGGAAATTGCACGCGTTCGTGTTATCTCCGATTAAGCCAGTCTCCGTTCGTAAAACTTATTATTCGTAATTTCTTCTCATTGCTCATTAATTTCAACTAGCCTCGGAGAAAATCGTGTGTAATAGAACGATATTCCCGATTCCTTCCGACTTTAATTCCATTGATAGATTATTAAATGACGAATCGAGGTGTCGACACTTCCGTTCTTCACGAGACGCGTATTTCATACCGCGAAAAGAAGACTCTTCTCCCGAATAGCGAGTCTGAGAGTCAAGTCAATCTTATTTGATCCGATTCGATTGTATGAGCATAAAGTATTGAATTAAGCTGCGACGTAAGCGGTATTGTAAGGGGAAGCCGTATCCCGCTCCTCTAATAAAATTTACCTCGGGGAAGCTCGACCGCGCGGCTACTTGATCGACCACGTTTAGGTTCGGCCCACTCGTCTGGAGGAGCAGCAAGGAGAGGAAGAAGGGCAACAAAGCAGCCCGAAATGCGAAATGCAACAGCGGAGACAGCGGCATACAGATCGAGGTGAGAGGAGAGGAGAAACTTTCAATCCTTTACATTTCCGTGCGACTCGAAGGCAGATTCGCGAAGTCCTCCGGAAGGCGTCTCGAGACTCCGTGCAAGAAATTAGAAATTCGTCTGCAGTCACGAAGAGACGCGTCTTAGACGCGACTGAGAGACGCTTTAATCCTTCAGACTCTCTTTAGATGTCTCCTGGGTGATTTCGCGAGGTCTTTGTAACGCTCGCGTTATTCAATCTGGTATCAACGAAGACAGAGAGAGAGAGAGAGAGAGGAATGAAAGGAAGCGAGTCTCACGAACGTTTCACCCGAATGACGTTTCCCATGAATAGATGGTATCTGGTGGAGCGTTGACTGGGGGTAGCGGCGGAGGAGTGATGGGGGGTGGTGACAGCTCCGAGTCCCATGATACGGACGACATCCCCGACGACACCGACAGCCCTCCGGCCCTTCGCAGGCGAGTCGCCGATAAATCGCGACCCCAGTCCGAGCTCATCAACCAGATACTGATTGACAAGTTCAAGGTAAGCTCCTCGATTCTTCCGCCTCCTCACGGCTCGCTAAAAATACCGCTCACGATGCTGACACGCCTCCTTCACGGTGTGATACTAATAAAAACTAGTTAATGCCAGTTGGCCGATAACAATCACGCGTTCGCTTCGGTACTCGGAGCGAATATCTGGCGCGGGCGGCTTTTACCTATTGACATGTAATCGCGGACGAAGCACGCGGTAAAGTTTCTTTGATCTTTCACGGTGTTGACGGACCTGGAGAGAGAGAAGTCAATGCATGGGCTCGGATCTCCTTTACCGCGATCTTTTCATCGGTTTCAATCAATTTTATCTCACGAGAAGAGAAGCAGCACCGTATTCATTTATTTACTTATTTGTCGACGGAAGATTTTCCCTTTAATACCAATGAGCAAACCTGTCGCTCACGAAACGGGCAGTTGTGCCTTAGAAGTTTGCCCCTGAATAAAGTCGAAATTAAATTCTTGTCCATTTCCTACGCGATATTGTTACAACTAATGAGAACGCACGAATATCAGACAGTAACTGAATGGATATTTAGGAAAGCCACGTACATTTCTACCAAGATTGTTAAATGTTTCATTACTCCGATCTACACGAGTCGCTACTACCCATATCATCTCGTCTCTTTCTACGCCTGCCAACACGATTTCGACTCCACGCTTTGTCCGGTATAATGACGACGGTTTCACCGTTCGCTTTGAAGTCAGCAACAGAAAGGCCGGTAAACGTTTCCGCGAGAGTTCATTTCATTTTTATCGCAACCCTGTCCTTAATCGATCTCGCGCTGCGCGCGGACGGTCGCGCGCGTGTTATTTTCGAGATCCGCTTCCTCCCGGCGCAGGCGATGACTTACATTAGTCATTAATAGTAACGCGATAATTGCGACAGTTATCGGGACGGTGGTTGTAACTGTTTCCTCCGACACGATAGCGGCATTAGTCACCTTTGTGTACGATTTGACCACGCTCGCGGAGATTCGCCGTTCCGTTCCGCGATAGCCGCTTTTTATATCACCGCGCGCCAGGATACGAGCAGAGGAAACGGGCGCCCCGTCAGTCGATACGCAGCAGTTTGCGCGATCGTGCGCGACTTAACGAGCGGCTTGAACGCGCTCGGACCTCGCGATCGCGTCAGATCGTTTTCGCGCGCGCGATGCGCCGTTAATTCAATCGCTAATTCAATCGCATCCCCGTGCAAATTCGCGCAGAGCAATGTCGGCCACCGACGAAGAGCGGAAAGTGAAGTATCGCAGCCGAGCGACCGTGCTAATACGCGAACACTTACAACCGACGTCCCCTTTCAATCCCGAGATAAGCCGCTTTATTGTTTGTTTTCGCGCCACTGTGTAAGAATCACGCGGAATCCCGCGAAAGTCGCCGACCGGATTCGGCAAGCAATTTCGTCAGGGGGATCCAACGGTCGCTCGGACTAACGAAAATACGTCCCCCGCACCCGTCCGAGTCGAAGTTCCGACGCTACTCTGACGTACCTAAGGATGGCTTGCACCTATTTAGACGGCCTATAAACTGATTAAATCCTACTGACTCTCTAACTTCACTCTTGAACCTTTAATTCTACAGATTGAATCTTAACGCTGCCTTCGGCAACCTATTTCGACGCTAAAACAACCAAAAGGGCAAATTTAAGATATCACCAGAGTATCAAAATAAAGATTACGTTATATTATTAGAATTGAAATTGAACCTATTTTGCCATCTTAGCTCCTATTTTGTAGAATTAAAGGTTTAACGTAGTTTAACCCTTAAATGCATAGTGTTGCAAATTTGCAACATATTTATTTTTCCTCTTTATCGAGATCAAAGGCACACCTAAACGTGGAAGACCAAATTCTTCCTTAGAACGAAATATACAATCCAAAAGGCACAAAGGCAATGCTCAACATATGCCTCAGATTTTTTTTGAATATTTTCCTCATTTTCTGCGACTACCATGAACCTAAAACAAAAATAATTCAGTAATAAAAAACAAATTCATGCATTTAGGGGTTAACGCAGGGCGAAAATCTCGACTCGAGTGATGCGCGCGCCGCTCACGTACGCCTGTACGAGGCGACGCAGGAAGCTTCTCGAAACGGTTCTCTGTTAATTTTCGCGCCGCGAAATATAAATTCGCGCCCGGAAGAAATCGCTTAGCCCGGCGCGTTCAATCGTCGCTGCGTCGCAGTTAATCGACGCGCGGGCGCTCGGCGAATAATCGCGACGGAATCACCTGATCGGGGATTCCCGGACTGTTCCAGGCGGATCTGCAGAGCCGCACGTCGCGACATAATCACGTGCGCCGCACGAACAGCGATCTAGGGGGCCAGAGGCTGCTCCAATGGGACACCAGATCGGGATACGTTCACAATTACCGCAGGATGCTGTCGACCCCGTCGCCGATCAAGACGAGGCCGCCCAGACTCAGCCCGAGGCATTCCTCCCATGATATCGTTACGCTCAGAAGGTGCGTTTAATCACCGCAAATGTGCTTAGTGTCAAGCAACCCTTGTCGCGTACGCCTCATTAACCCATCGCCATCTGCGAGAATCACGGCCTGACGAAGGCTGCAGGGAACTCAAGTAATCGTTAAGTGTTCGAATCGTCGGGCAACGCGTCTCTCGGCGGCTCCGCTTGAAAATCCCCAGCAGTGGGGCGCAGCTTCGACGCACGGACAGAATTCGAAGTGATAAAGTATGCTGAGAAGTGAAGCGGAGCAAGTCCTCCAGCAGAGCGCGGAAGTGGAATCGTATCAACAAATTCGATACGTCCTCTCCTACTTCTGTTCTCAAAGCTGTTTCTTCTCCTTCGCGCACTTCACGAACAAAAGGTTGCAAAATCTCTCGACCGGAGAGGGAAGTTACAAACGGAGAAGATTCTCGGGGATTTTTATCTCGTGTAATTCATCGTATCTTCTCCGTCGTGTATATTTGCGGGTATATTTGCGTATCGCGATTCCTCGCGATATCTCAATTCGCTCGAAGGTGAAATATTTGAAAATATTAAAAAAAGAAAACAACGTTAGACGACTCGAGCGCGCAGCGCTTGCTTGGGTTTCCATAGCCGGGACGAGCTGTAAAAGCTTTCGCCGCGAGTGTGAAAAGCTGTGGCAGTGCTGCAATAAGGAGGCGATAAAAGAAAACGATAGAGAGACATATCGAACGCTTATTAACCGCTCTCTTTTAGCCGCACGGCCGAACTACCTTCTCTGTAGCCTGACGCGCTCGCTACGCTTCTTTATTTTCTCGAATCAGTAACAATTTTTGACTTCCTCCCGACGAACGCGACACTTATATGCTACGAACCAACACATTCCCCCGAAAGAAAAGTGACAAGCTGGGAAAAACTTAAATACTTTGTTCTCGAACCTTTCCAGTAAATCGAGGGAGAATAGTGGTAGGTAGACGGGTATTATAACAAACCACCTTCTCTTAATCTTTCCTCGTAAAAAGTTGATCTGTGCCAAGCCTACGTAACATACGTATACCGTACTTGTGTCGTGTGTTGTATCACTATACATATATACATATCTATATACATATGTTATATACCTATACTATACCTATTGTAATTCGTTGCTGAATGTTGTACCGACGCTTAATACCTCAAGTACACGCTTCTGTTGGTCCTCCGCTCGATGCCGCACGTCGACGCGTAGCGGAAGCGAGCCGGTGTCGAATTAACGGTCTTTCTTTCTCTTTTCCATTGCGCCCCAGTAACGCGAAAGGGAGGAGTTCTCGGACAAATTTGAGACGGTCGCTCAGCCAGCCACTGGGAATCAATCAGCTCTCGCCGCTGATGCGCACCAAAACTGCAGGTGAGGCACCCGCGACAGCACGGTTAAACCTCTCAAGTTCCTAGGATAGTTCTCGAGTTCTGACGTAGAGATCACCGTCCCTCTTGTTTTCCTACCGAGCACGTGTGCAAATCGTTCGCCCCCCCTCCCCTCCCCGCCGCCGCCATTCTGCTCGGAGAACGCGAACCCTCGCGCTAATAGTTGCCTGAAATTGAAAACGATCGTTGCGTTGCTGCAAATATCGTCTTCTTTGTAACTTAACTCGCTCGGCGTTTTATCGTTGCAGAACGCATATTGCACATACCTGTTCTCGATCAGATGTGATGTAATACGAAAGAAAAATCAAGGTAAAAATCGGAAGATAATATTCGAGGCGAAACAACAATCTTTGAATGACCAAAGAGCTGGATATTTCTTGCGAGTGTCCGATAAGGATGTTTCCTTCGATACGATTCGTGACGGTTGAAATCGCCGAGAAAAAAGCGTTAAATAAAGGGGCGAGGCACACGCGCTGGATGGGAAGATTTTACTACAGTAGAAAACCTCCCGATGAACTTCTCTTAGTGCACAGTGTACTCCAGAGACCTTCGGTTTCTCTCTAGACATCGTCCTGAGGAGTATTCCGCATGCAACCCCCGTAAAGAGTCAGCCCTTGTTGAGCATTCTCACATCGTGTTGTCGTCGAATGCACCCTCGTAAGAGAAAACGGAAAGGAATAAAACAAAACGAAAGCAGCGGAAAAGAAACCGAAAGGAAAAGAGACGAAACCGCGAGAGCAAGGCCAGGAACACGTAGAAGTGCCTAAGCAGTAAGGAAATTGACCAACCACAGTCGATTTTTCTTAAACCCTGAGGGGAATAGTCAATTGCGATTGGTCAATTTGCTTACTTCTTACGTCTTACCGCTTACGTTTTTCCATGTGTTCCCGGCCTAAAGAATGGGAAACCCCTCCTTGTAATAATCGTGCTGACTTTCGCCCCTGTAAAAACGTTGCTTCGTGTGAGAACGCTTCTGTTTTGCAAGCCGTAGTAGAAGAGAGAGAGAGAGAGAGAGAGAGAGAGAGAGAGAGAGAGAAAGAGAAAGAGGGAGGCAGACGGAGAACGAGTTTGCCGAAGAACCTCGTAAAAGCGACGGCGTTTTCGCCACCACTTCCGACAGGGAGTTGCAGCCTCCCGAGGGTGCGATCAATCGCGCTCGCGGTTAACTGAATTTTTAGGAGGTACTCCGGCAGACTCTCCGGTTTACCTTCCCGTGGAATCTCATGAAAACTGTTTCCTTCTTTTCCCGATGGCTCACGCCGAAAGCTGCGCACAGTGGACGCGGTATTTGGCCCGGGGGGCGACGCGGCCGGTTGCCGCAATAACTCCCGGAGGGGACGCCAGCGAGCGAAGTGCAGTGAAATGTCGCATACGTCGCGACATTCTCTACACTGTGAATCATTTCTGTGTTACAATCTGCGTCCTGACGAGCTTCGCGTAAACAGGAAAGAAACATAAACGGGAAGAACGATTTCTCTCGAAGAGATCAAACCTTTTCGATCTGTAATATTTACGAAACGACGGAAACAAATCCACGAAGGAGACCTGGCGTTAACTCGGGAAGCGAATCAAGTATTTATCCACCGCGGAAGTCTGGAACGTTTGAAGATTCGTAACCCTTCATTCTCGATATTTCTTGGTTTATTATCAGAAACGTCAGGATTTCGTGTCACTCAAATCACACGTAGCGTGTCCGAGCGGAAGGAATTCGCGGGTATCACCGGAGAACCGGTGGCATGTCTCCGAACGAAACGTCCCCTTCGAAAGTTCGCGTCGAATTGATCTGCGTGTTTTTTTAAGCCACCAAGTTTCGGTTCGAACGACGACCAACCGGCTGTCCGCGCGTCCGTGCTTTATTTTCTCGCGCGTATTACAACAATACGTTCTGCTCCGGAACAGGCGTGAGATTGCCCGGTGGCAACGTGCTGTCCGAGGACGAGCAGGATGGTAGAGCCGGCACATCCGACGACGAGATGATGTCCGACTCCGAATCCTCGGTCGCCTCGTTGACTGACAGGAAGAAGTCGCTCGAGCAGACGATGGACGAAGACGTCGCTATCTTGGCTGAGGCTGTTTGGGACCACGTGGCAATGGAGACGGAGGAGCTGGCTTTTCGCGCCGGGGACGTGATCGACGTCCTCGACACGTTGGACAAGGATTGGTGGTGGGGCAGCTGCAGAGGAATGCACGGATGGTTCCCGGCCGCTTTCGTCAGGGTAGGTACTCGTAAACTCGTTTCGAAAGGGGAGATAAAAAAAGTTCTGCTGATATTCGGCCAACATGGAGTAGGAAGAGCCACTGTGAGCGTGCGCAATGGACGTTATATAATACAGTATATAATACATTATATAACACATGCAATAATAAAGATTGTACTTATTTAATACCCGTTTGATTTCAAGCAATATCACATAGACTTTACGCTATTGATTTTAATTCCCAATTAACTTGCATTACTTTTAACAATTTTACTTTAATAATTTCATTTGAAGTAATTTCAGTCATTATTTGTAATTTTGTTACCTGACTCTGCGCGATGATTACGAATTAATGTTGTAATTCTCTTTTGTTTCTGCCTTTTGTAGTTTTACACTTTTCGGTTATTCCACGGTCTGGTTGCTTTTATTATTTTATATCGCCGTTGAGAACAAATCGACAAAATGCAAATGTGTGCACAGTTACGAGTGAACCAAGAGGAGACGGTGGAAGATTGCCTGGCCGCGATGGCCTCGGGAGTATCCTCGGCCACCCAGCTGAGGAGACGCACGAGCGTGTCCCTCCTGTCGAACGAGCAGGTGAGGACCAGCGTGGTCCGCGAGCTCGTCCAGACCGAGCGCGACTTCGTGAAGGTCCTGCGCGACGTCGCCGAAGGCTACGTCGCGGAATGCCGCAGGCACACGGACATGTTCACCGAGGAGCAGATCGAGACGATCTTCATCAACCTCGAGGAGCTGCTGGACTTCCAGTCCGAGTTCCTGAAGGACCTCGAGGCCTGCATCGATTGGAACGCGCCGCACAAAAGCTGCGTCGGCGAGTGCTTTCTGAATCACGTTAGTGACGTTAACGAGTTTACTTATTTCTCGCCGATGATTACGCGACAATTGACAAATTGATCGATATTGATTGATTTTGGGCCACAGTTCTTTCAGACTAACGAAAAAGGTCGAAGAATCGGAAGTAATTCTGTACGTAACCTCACGCACTTCCGTGAGTATAATATAAAGTAAAGAGGTATTGCCGTTTCAGAGGGCCGGCTTCCGCATGTATTCCGAGTATTGCAACAGCCACCCGATGGCGATGGCGACGCTGCAGGAGCTCTACCAGCACAATCGTTACAGCAAGTTCTTCGAGGCCTGCCGGCTGATGAGGGGTCTCATCGAGATCCCGTTGGACGGATATCTGTTGACGCCCGTGCAACGGATATGTAAATACCCCCTCCAATTGGCGGAGCTGCTGAAGTATACGAAAACGGATCATCCGGATTATCACAAGATCCAAGAGGCGCTGGAGGCGATGCGGGGCGTCGCGGTGCTCATTAACGAGAGGAAGAGGCGGATGGAAAGTTTAGAGAAACTGGCCGCCTGGCAAATGCGCGTGGAAGGCTGGGAGGTGAGTCGCTTGCCGAAAGTGCTTTTGTTAAAATTTCCGCGACTCGGATAGTCTTGATAGAGTCGGACACGGCTTCGTCTAATGGGATCGCTGAAACGCGCTTAATCGGCCGTAGGGTGAGGATCTCATAGAAGTTTCGTCGCAACTGATTTACCAAGGTGAAGCGATGAGAGTGACGACCGGCATGTGGACGAACAACATCATTCTATTCCTCTTCGATCATCAACTGGTCTACTGCAAGAAGGACATTCTCAAGCGCAATACTTACGTCTACAAAGGCCGCATTTATCTCGACACTAGCGAGGTCATCGATGTGCCCGATGGAAAAGGTAATCGACATCGTGCAATAACCACATTGACTTCGATGATTAACTTTGATAATCAGCAGACACGGGAGCGACTCACTTATTTCACTCTTAAGGAAAAACACATGTTTTTCATATTCGACTTGAGCCCTTTTAAAAAAATCCGATCATAAGAAATTATGTTTAATAATTGGCTTCTTTAAAAATAAAACAAAGGATTCAATGAAAATGACCGTTAGAAGCATACCTGTGTTTCCTTTAAATTGGATATTATTGAATATTATTCTTTTGAATATTATTTTTAAGAAGTTGACTAACTAGTTTGTTTTCAACGGAAAGTCCCGTCATTTAATGTCTTTTTTTATTTTTTTAATCTGTTTTTGTTTGACGGAAAAGCTGGGATATTCCAACATCTTGTAAATATATTACAATGTAGCTTAATTGGACTCAAATATTGTTTTTATTTTATTAAATGTGTTTGAAAACACAAAAAATTTAATTTTTTATCAAGCGTTTTATAGAATCTGAATATGAGCTTAAAACGGAATTTAAAATAAATTGGTAATAGGTAACTTTTTGTTCCGAAAATTGTAATTTTGCTTTTTATTCATTTGTATTATAAGACTAGTGTTTTAATCTTTTAGAGGAATGATATAATAGGTAGACAATTTAATTTTTTACGTACAAATTATTTGAAAAAAATGTCATTCATTTCTTTTAAAACTGACTCACTATTTTCTTACTTTTTCAAGAAACTCAGTTTTCTCATTATTTTTTGACAGTCAAACCTCTCCTATGCTTATAATTAATAAAAATTAATAGAAATACAAATAATAAAAGTTACTTAATAGTCACTCAATATCTGGTACAAATAGTAAGAAGAAGTTATCGCCAAAAAAATATTTTCACGGTAAGAGAACGATAACAAATTGGTGCGATAAAAAAGATTCCTAGTTGTATATTGCTGTCATCGTAGCAGGAAACGTTATTAAATAATTAATAAGATACCGTGCTAACGTGATTCGAAATATCAACTGTTATTCGTTTGGTAACAACGGAAAATCAAGCTAACGATCGATTTTCTCACCGTAGATCTTCAATCGGGCGTGACGGTGAGGCATTGTTTGAAGGTGTATAGCTGTGTGCGGGACAAGTGGCTGCTATTCTGTTGCCGCACAGCGGACGAGAAGCGACGGTGGCTGGCGGCAATGGCCGAGGAACGAAGATTGGTGGCTCAGGACAGGAACGACGGATTAGAGTTTCCGGCTGCGGCCAGGCAGCTCGCCAGGCTGGCCGCCAGCAGGCAGCAAAACAGGCCGCCGATTAAACCTCGCAGTATGTTTTTCACGTCTTCGAGTTCGCTTGTCAATAAATTTCCAGTTCATCAAAGAACCCGACCTTAAACCGAGTGAACACCAATTAACAGTAACATAACATCAATGTTATGGTTTCCCATCCAACGATGTAAATGCAATATAACGCGTGTATTATGTAACAGTTACGCTGTTAAGTGGGAAATTATAGCCTCGATATTACGTTACTATTAGTTGGTGTTTATTAGAAAGTCGTTCCGGAGTTACTTTGCTCTCGTATCAACTCCCGTCAATTGATATCAATTATATTTTGATGAAATTCCTCATAATTTAACACTTTCAATTTAATTTTAATTAATTTATATATATTTATATTTTAATAGTATATATTATCATTTACAGATTTTATATATATATTTTAATTTATATATATATATATAACTTTAATAATTGATGCTGTTGTAGATAAAACGTACAAGAGGGAATCGACATACGAGATGCCTACGATGGTCGCGCAGGGCACCACGAACTCGCTGGGACGGAAAGTCGGGACCTGGTTCACGTTCGGTAGCAGCAAGAAGAGCACGCGGCTTCAACCGTCCTGAGACAGGCCTACCTTCGTGCCGTATATTGACTTGTAAAGCTGCGGCTTACGGCGCTGCGTCGTCCTGTCGGAATCTCGGTGCACTTACCGATTACTCCGAACTAACATAGAAACTTGCTCGGGCGGGCGTTCGAGCACTCGAAGAATCAGGGTAAACATTGTTCGCCACGTGCAATTGCAGTCTCGGTCGAGTCGTTTACGCTCAGCGAGTCAGGCGTACCTGTCAAGCTGTAAGCTAGGGTTCCTCGGCACCGGCGACGAACAGCGCACCGTCATATGTACGGCACGAAGGTACTTAGTGTTATTATTTACTCGTTTAGCTGAGTTTGTCCTATCACGTATACCTCTTCTACCTTGGTAGAACAAGCAATCGCTGTCAACCCTGGCAGTCGATCATCGCGTTCCGCCTATATCGAGTAGTAGCCGCGCGGCTTCGAAAGCAGGAGAAGGAACTTCAATGACTCCCCTCCTCATTCACTGCCTCTCGCGCGGAGAAACGCGGACGGACGCTGTCACGTCGTCGTCCGGATTAGCTACCGCGTGCTCAAAGTCGAGACACGAGCTTGGCCGACGAGGAGCACTCGTTACTCGTTTTTGAATCTCCTTCAGGAGCGACTCCCGCTCAGTCCTCGAGCTGTCAGACCTCGATTTTCCGATTCCCGCTCGTCTTCGGGCGCGTCGTTCATCGGCACTGTCGCTTCCGGCGCGACATTACCAGCATCCAGTCCGAAAAATTACCGGAAATGCATTTCGGAGAGAAACGGCGGGATAGGGCCGAGAGGGGTGTAAAATTGATTCTGTAGATAAATTTGTGACGAAGGGCGCGTCGCGTACGAGACTAACTCGTTAAATAATCCAAGAGGATAAATTAAGGGAGTAGAGAGAGAGAGAGAGAGAAAGAGAGAGAGAGAGAGAGAGAGAGAGAGAGAGAGACACTTAGAGAGAAGTAGATAGTAAATGTATAAAGTCAATAGCGGGCTTCTGAAGTACTAAAGAGAAAGTACTAGTCACTCCTTCATCGCGCGGTTTCATAATATATACATATATATATAAACGCCGGGATGAACAATCTCGGCACGTATACACGTATATTGTTAAACGCGCAATCGCTTTTTCCGAGTCGGAGCGTGAGCAGCTGGATGGCACGTTGTTACGGCTGTATGTTTTTTTATCATGATAATCGAAAGACTGACGACCGTTTCCTCTGGAGGAGACCGGTTGTAATCTTGAGAGAGGGAAAGAAAGAGAGAGAGAGAGAGAGAAATCGGACGATCGAGACAGGAGCAGAGACTTGAACATAAACGTCGGAGAGTATTACGTACGTAGATCCGCCTTCGTCGAGGCATCGCTCGGCACATCGCTACGCGTGTGACTTTTGTAAATCAACTTTACGTACCCGCGCGGCGCGGGGGTACAGCGAGAGAACTGATCGTTTTGTAGTACTGCGCGCGTGCAGTTTTCCGCGTGAAAGTGTCAGCAAGTTCGATCACAACACAGCGGCCGGCGGCGCGAGAGATCCTGATTTTACGGTCGCGAACCCCACCGCGGGGCGCTTGTCTCAATTTCGACCGGCCGCCGATTCCGCGCGTACCACCACTTTTCTCTCAACGAAAACGTAGATGTATCTCGTAGACGAAGTCTCCAGCGAGCTATATACGGTAACTCTTACTGCCTAACTAATGTTCGTTACTCCGCATAAAGCATTGTACTCGTAATACTCATAGTAATTTGTAAACGAGATTGCGAACCGGAGGGTTAGGAGGACGAGGAGAAGCGGCGGCTGAGGAGAGAAGGGGTGAGAAAGGGGGATAGAAATTTATGTTTCTATACGGCACAACGCAACAGCGGCAGTATTAATCCATACGCGGATAAAAGAGAAGCGGCTAAACTAAATATGTAAATACTCGCATATCACGCCTCCCTGTCCGATCGCGATACGAAGCGGCGAGTTGCCGGAGAAAAAAAGAAAAGTACGAGGAAAAAGAGAACGGGAGATGGAGGGTAGGTTAAAGAGGGAAATGATAGAGAGGATCTTTCGAGTTTTTCTACTCTTCTACGGAAAGATACGGGAAGATTCGGTAACGAAGTGGAGAGAGAGAGCCGGAAATCAGCAAACGGAAGAATCTCTGCGTTTTTTCGCGCGCGAAAAAAAAAAGGAAGATAAAGAACCCACACACTGTATTGTCTACGCGGTTTTTACTTGGCAAAAAGAGAAAAAAAATGAAAAAAAAAAGAATCGTTCGATCTTGGAGTTTCAGCAAAACTTAACCACGGATCCTGAAAGTTTTCCAACACTGCCAATAAGTTTAAAAAGAAAATAACTCGTCTTCGTTCGTTAGAATTGTTTGACCTGTCTTTTAGTAGAGAAAGAGAAAGGGAGGAGAGGACCGGCATTCCCCGATGCGTACTTTGTTGAAAGCACAGAGCGCGAGGATCACCGTTGGGCACCGTTCGCGTCCGGGGATGCGGGATGCGACCTTGCGTTTTTGTATGACACACCACATACGGGCACAGAAATGGGTATATATTTTCGCTTATTTGCCGACACCGTAATTTACTAATGCGATACGAGGACAATATAATGATAAAAGAATGGATCAAGATTCCTACGAAGTACTGTACAGAGATCATTAGCCTGTTGATGTTTAGACTAGGAGAGACCGCGATCTGTTGCTGGACCCGACTCATTTCAGAGTTATTTTTATAGGAGAGAGACGACTCATTGGTTCTCGAATGTGATTTTCTTATAAGTATTGCTAATTATACACGGACTGCTTTAATGGCCAACGTAAGTATAAGGTAACAGGTATCTCGTTAGGGATAAGTAGCGAGGCTACCCCGGGACTGCAAAGACGGCGCGGAGATTCCCAGGCAACGTCCGTCGGGCGCGTTTGAAGAACATCGGCTCTCTCGCCGGCCGTCTTCGAAAGCGGCCGTCGAAGACTGCCGGATATCCCTCTCGCGCGTCTTGTCCGGGCCGGATGATAAGCACAACCTGCGTAAATGCACAATTAAGCACCGACGACTCTTCGCACTCAGGAGAAACCNTTGCCCCCCCCCCCCCCCCACGTGCGAACGAGTAATCTGAAGCCGCGAAAGTCCGTACCTCGTGCGCTCACGAGCTCCCATTGGCAAGTAAACTACATATCTTACTATATACGCAATCTCGACACAGGCGCCGACTAATTTATACCTCGGTGGTGGATAATAATCTGTCCCCCGGTGGTGAATGTACTCTATCTTCCTCTTGAGAGAGAGAGAAAGAGAGAGAGAGAGAGAGAGAGAGAAAAGGTCGTTACTTTCTGAATCGTCAGGCAGGATCCGCACGGGACACGAGGGAATGCGCTTCGAAGCAATAAGTACTACTAAGCGTTACTGTTGCGATTATTTAAGCTGTTACGTGCGTAACGTTTTTTTACACACACACACACACACACACACACACATGCGTATATATACAGATATACGTATGCACAGCCACAGATGTTTTCCTTGAGATTCGATATCGATAATCGTGTACGTGCACTCTGACGACGTGGAAAACGGAGCTTGTTCTCATCGCTACGGTGACCGAGTTGCCCCACGTTCGAATGACCTAAGAGGAAGAAACGCAGATATCGCATCGCTCTGTTTTCTGTACATACGTAGGCGTATTTTGTAAGTGTAAATACCGTAGGTCCAATCTTGTTAGAGGAAGTAACTTCACTCACCACGTTGTAGCGATTTAAGTGACCCCTACTTGTTAAGCAATGTAATTGACGTTCGCGTACGGTTGATTAACGATTAAAACGGTGTGAAAAGATCGTTTTGTATATTTATATATCTGATTTAATGAGTTCGCGACGAGCTTTCGCGCGGCCGATTGTTCGTGTTAAATAATTATTGTTTATGATGTGTACAGTAGAACGTTACACAATATGATTGCGATTGTTTTCCAGATACGAGTATATACTGAGTTACGCATATATGTAAATAAACATTTTATAACTATTACATCCTGTCCAACTTCTTTTCTCTATCTTTATTTAATGACCTTGATGCTGTGTCGAGTATATTATATAAAAAAAGATATATATATATGTATATATATGATCAATGAAATAGCTTTAATAAAAAGACTTTAATTTATCTAACATTGATCCATGGCACAATTCAAGTGCCAAGTATAAACATGCCGTCCTTCGTCATTTGGGCTTTTAACTTGGAATTTTCATTTCTCAAGTCATTCGCGACTTGTCGGAGATTCTTGGCTTCTTCCGTCAACTGCACATTCTCCTCCAGACTTTGGGTCAGTTTCTCCTTATCCTCTCTTAATTTCACAATGTATTCACAAGCTCGTGCCAATATGCCGCCTTTGCTCTATAAATAAATATCATTACTATAATAAACATTACAGGCATCCTAATAAGAAACAGCACAACCAACTATTGAGACAGACGAGTGGATCCAAAAAGAAAAGCTTGTGAATATCATACTTGTGATTCACCATTCGCCTTCCCATCTCCCTCTCCGTTGGCATTCTGATCACAATCCGGCAGCAGATTTCCTAATTTAGAAATCCAAGTATTGATTTTATCTCTCCTGCGCCTCTCCACCTCATTGTGCGTTACTCTTCGCCTCTCGTCCCTCTAAACATAAATTTGACTCTCTGAACATACAGTGGATGTAAAATATAGCTAATGATGTAAAACGCAACAGAAATATTGAATAATATACCTTCTTTATGCCTGTAATGATACTTTGTGGTCCTTCTATTTGTAACTTGGCTACACGAGGTGCTACTGACCTCGCAGTCTCTGATGCAACAACATCATTACCGTTACTCAGTACATAAAATTGTCCATTTAACGGAGAGGCTAAAACCTGAACGGCATTATTCACAGGAGTTATCGAAACTTGCTCGTTGTTCTCCTCGTTAGCTTCGCTGACATGCATAACCTTGTACGTTACTGTGCTGTCACCTCTGTTTACCGCATACAGGTGATACTGTATATTATCGTCGTCAGCCTCCGCTTCGGCTTCGCAATCAACTATCTCCGCTTCTTCCAAAACAACACCAACGGTTTCATCCCCCATTATATTCTCATCTGCGCTATAACATAAATAAGGTTAAACAATGCTGTCAACGAAACAACACACTCGCAACGTAAGGTGATAAACGTCAAGTTACGGGAGAATCGGCAAGGAATATTCATACCTTTCGTCCATCGTGTCGAAACGATTAATAACTTCCATTTCAATTTACAACAAGCACTTCCACGATCGCTCGAATGTAAATCTTAAGCGTAAACAACACATTATTCTCCGCCAATCGGCTTGAAATTTTTACACATATAAGGTGCTTCTCAGCTGAACTTTCTGCACTGGTGCAAAGAGATGTGCACCAACGCGTCCTATAATCCTTAGGTAGATACAATCAGTGCAAGGATAGTAAACGTTCTATATAGTTTATTTATATCTTAAAATTAGAAAATGATCATCTTCGCGATGTTAACAGAAAGATATACAAACAAATGTTATATATTTATATACATATTAAAGAATCATTTCTTTTTATCACGAAAAATAGACAAATTTAATAGGCTGAAAGTTTCGTAATAATAAAAATTATGAGATGACTCGAAAAGCATTTTACAATTTAAAGACCTCCTGTTTCTGAATACATTTTCCAATATTATGCATAATCATTTCTTATAGTGTTACACGAATATAAATCCAGACCCATCAAATGTCAAAACTTTTTAAGTTTATTGAGTTGCATACACGAACCGCGCATATACGAAAAGTCACCCATATCGAACTTATTTTATTTAAAAATGTGAATTATTCACTTTAATTTGCATTCGCAGAAATAGTACAGTTTTCTTTCATCGAGTTATTCAACGTTAAAAAGCATGCTTTCGGCTTTAATCGCTTGCAGAAGACAAATTAATCAATACATGAGATTCATCACGAAATGAATAGAAAAGCTTAAAGTTCTCTCTTCAAAATGCATCTGTCGTAATTTTTACACACGTAATTTTTCTGTATAAAAACTTAGATGAAAAATGAGATTAGAAATTAAATAATTGCCATTTCTCATTTAACTCGATATATCTTAGCGAAAAGTGACAGCAACATTATGATTTTCGTGCGTCTAAAATCTAGAGACTTTAAGCTGTAAAATATTTTTCGAACCGTCTTATTATCTGAATTTTTACGGAAATTACAGCCCGTTGAATTTGATGTATTTTTCATGATAGAGTAGAAATGCGTCCGATTTATCGTTGAATCGTACGATCTCGATATTTTGGCCAGTATTTATAGTTTGATCTTTTACTTGAAATCGTTTTAAATTCATCTTCAGTTACTGTAAGGGTCGTTTTATTGGTTACAAACTGAAAATAAACTGTCTGAAAATAAGATCTGACTATTGAATAGCTCTAGTCAAGATCGGTGGCGACTCGTAGCGGAGACTTCGAAACTAATTTGCAACATTTTTAGCCAGGACTCCAACCCTATTTAGCGAAGACTCAAACCGATCAGCTTAACGAGTTTTCCGTGACACCGTTAACACGTTGACTGCCACGGAACTTTTCACGATTCTGGTCTAAGAAGCCAATTTGATTTAATCAAGTAATGAAGCGACGAGATAACTCGTAGTTAGCGTCCTGGGCAAGTAAACAACCTACGAGATATCTCGTAGTTGACAGTCAACGTGTTAAATAGCAAGCGATCTAATTCGTAGCTTTCTAGCGGGCTATCTGCTATTATTTCAAAATATTATTTCAAGATACATGTTCGTTATTTTGATTTCGTTTTCCTTATAATTGGCCACTTTTGTACAACCAATGAAAATGATCATACTATAGAAATCTGCGGCAAGAGTCGAACTCTTGTCGTCGATCCCCGCTTAATTTTTACGAGAACGAAGCAAAACGGGAGGGAAAAGTAAAGCGATTCGATATTATTTCAATATATTGAATTTTATTACAAAATGTTTGTATTTAGGCTACAACATGTAATATAATAATTGCGTTTGGTCTAGACCCTTATCAAAAAAAAAAAAGCTAAACTGCACCACGTTTACTATTGTCTTAACGAGCCACTTCGCCAGTTTACGCCTCGAGAAGAGACCCACGAGAGGAAGAGCAGAGAGACAAGAAACACACGTAAATGCTACAAAAGTTGCCATGCACATTATTAAAATTAAAACAGCCCATGCTCGTATCCGCCATCCAGAATCGTACAACGTTTCTGCAGCTGCAACGATTGTTGTTTCGCAAATACATCAGTAACACATTAGAGAGTATACGCAAAATACATATATCTGAAATATCGATAAATAAATCGATCGGACATATTGGAAATTCGAATTGACGCACACATTATTTCCACATATATTCGATCGTATATATTCGAACAATTTCACTAAATGCAGACAGTGTCACGCGTAAAACCTGCGGATTTTTTAAAATCAGAAGAACGTATTCTACATATCGAAACCGGAGCGACAAATGTTTCGTGGTCTGAAGATGCGAACAGCGATTGAAGAATCCAACGTATCAACATGTAAATTGTATAAAAATTATAACGACAAAAATCTTTCTCGGACAAAACTTGGACGATAAGAAAAAAGAGAAGATTCGGATAGACATGTATAAGACAAAAATAATATATATATATGTATATATATATATAATTTAAATAATTTATCAAATTAATCAAATTGATTAACTTTCTAAAAATGATTTCAATCGCTTTTACGACGAATCTGCTAAATATTTTTCGAATCGTTTTTTCCTCGTAGCCACAAAGCACCGGTCGTTCTAGCACCGATGTATCTCCGATATATACGTTTCGTCGAATACGTTTCACCGAATATTCGACTTTCTATACGTGAACGAAACACCTCGTTGCCTTCCTCCATACGAATCACCATCGAAATATGAGATCGCAGGACGCTCCTGCCAATTGCACGCTGAATAGAAAAAGGAGGAAGCAGTAAGCGGTATATTACGACAGAGCTGACTTCCTCGAGGCGCAGCCTGAGGACCGGCGGCTCTAAAGACATGCTGTGTCTAAAGAAGAAGACGATAGTGATTGTACATCGAACTGCGTACAACCGAGATATACGTCGTAATAGGTGTAAAAATAATAAAATTAGTGGTAGTAAACCCCTCTATTACATTATACGGTGTGTAATTTGTAGAGAGTGTGTCTTCATGAGTGTAGGTATGTGCGCACGCGTGTGTGTATGTGTGTGAATGTGTATGTATGTGTGTGTGTTATAACCGTTTAATTCGGTCGTCAAATATTCAACATAGTAAAGGAAATTCTCCCAAGCAAGCTAATCCTAAGATAAATGTAATATCTTTTTTTCGCTTATTCATATAGCTTCTATTTATATTAGGGGGTATGCACGTACGTGATAACTAAACAGATACAATGATTTTTTTTCCTTTCTTCGCGCCGCACACGTGGCCGCTAACGACCGCTCGTTTTAACGCGGCTCTCTCAAAGAGCAGGAGGCTGTCGCGATCATCGATAATATCCGATGAACTGAGAATCTGAAGCTTAGAGAAGCGCGGCGGGACACGTGCCTTCGACCTTCGAATCGTTAACTCTGTGTATCCGTTTTAACCACTCTGTATCATCTCGATTTCTTTCGTGGACTCCGCCTCTCACCCATCGATCGATATTCATACTGCACACAATCGGCGCTAAATACGGACCGACAAAGTGTCCCGAAGGACGCCCAACGACACCAAAGAAGTTTCGTTTTAACCGCTTCTTAATTTGTCGCGATTGCTTGTATTCTCTTAAAATCAGAATCAGAAAAAGGCAAAGAATCGACTCATCAGAGTCAGCTTAATTAAGCTATCCTCTGCTAAAGTCCAAGTCAAAGCAGCCTGACCGTTTGATGCATGTCTCAAAATCTTGCTTAGCACAACGAACGCTCGATTGTTGGCGTTTAAAGAAATTTAGAATCGAGCCACATTTAGCGCATCTGTCTTCAGACAAGAATATGGATACCGATCGAATGTGGAAGTCCAGGAAAGGAACTTCAGATAGAAAGCCCAAACAAAACCATCATGTCCTTCAAGTCACACGTTACAGACGCATACCAGCGACTCGGACGAATCTTGTCAAATCCACTCATTAGATACAAAAAAATAAAATAATAAATTTTATCAGACAATTTCTTTAATATCATCTGTATATATACGTCTCATCGACGTTTTTAATTAAATAATAATTATGTATATGTATATATGTATATATATATATATATATTTCGTTCCCTCTGGCGTCTTCTTAAAAGCGGGGAAATACTTTCTACACGATCCTTCGATAAAAAAGATTTTTCTCAAGTGTCCGAACAGTTCGAAATCAAATAAATACGTGTGTAAACATATGTAAAATAATTGCACAATAATATATTGGTAGGATTTCAATTACTCTTCCTTCTCGACATCTCGCCGATTACTCTAATGCTAGTTTTATTTTGAGAAGTCCCTTCTCCGTCCCTCTTCGTATAGGATGCACTCAGAGCAGCCTCCTGTTCTCCAATGTGTATATATATATATTTATATATATAATATATATATAACTATATTTTTAATGGTTTCTCATAGAATTATCCAAGTAAAATCTGTAAAATACAATATACTGCCTATCATAAATTCTTAATTTTTCTTTCTTTTATAAATAATTATAGTAATAGTCTTCACACCATTTGTTAATTTATTATACTCAGATGCCGTTCGTTCCTTTCTGGATTAAATTTAAATATTACATTTGTGCCCTTTGCGCACTAATCCACTTCTATAGTATTCTGCATGACTGTGGGGTGTGTGTGTGTATGTGTGTGTGTGTATATGTGTCCTGTGTGTGAATGTGTGTATATATATAATACATGTAATATATAATCTAAAGGACTTACGGTATTTACATATGTACACGTTAACAATAATGCGTCGTCCAAGCCACATGCGATAATTTTTACTCCCCTCTCGTCGCTATCGAAGACTGATTTTCTCTTCCATCTCCGCAACGGGTCATGCAACTACTAGTGTAGCCTACTCTCTTCTCACTTTTTAAAAACTCTCGGAAGTAACTTCGCTCGGAATTCCCGTCTGACGATTTAGCAACGAATAATGGTGAAAAAGTTCTGGTCAGATCTTTTCGTCTGGTCGTCCCTCGGACGGCGCGCGGCCGTGCCGCCTCTTTTATGCACGGCTGTCGCACGGTCGCGCGCGTCGTCGTACAAATTGTCAAGTCGAACTGAAAGCTAATTACAGAAAAAGTTACAACTCTTAGAAAATAGGCTTCGCCCTTCCGTCACACCGACTTCTTTTGTCCTCTCTGTCTCGCTCTACACTTGGCCAACCATGGACTTGCTTCCGGCGGCTTTCTTCTCCACTGTAGAAGTGCAAAGGCTGCAGACAACTGTTTGCTGTTAGAGGTCGAAGAGGAAGACTGTGGCTGTCTTTCGCGAGCACACACAAAGGCGTGACCCCCCTCCCCCCTTTCGCGAACGGGGAACATCGCGCGCGCGTTACGATCAGTCCTCCGTGTAATCGTTCATGCGTTTTTACCTACGCCGTCACTGGCGCGCCTCCTCTCTCCAGCAAAAGTTGCGATCTTATATACCTGGGCATGAAAGAGCGCGCGCGCGCTCCCGTAGACCCTACCTAACGATTCAGGGTTGGCCAAGCTCTCACTCATGCTACGAATCGAGATCGTCCTCCCTCTGGCTGCTGAAGTAAGACACCAGCCCGCCGAACTCGCCGCTGCCCTCCTCGTCGTACTGCTTGTTGCCGGCGCCGGGGTCGCCCGGGTGGGCCTGTTGCGGCGGCGGTGCCTGCGGCGGCGGCGCCTGAATCGGCGGCTGGTTGTCCGAGGAGAAGTGCTCCGAGGGATAGGGCGAGGTCTGGTAGGCGGCGGCGTCGTCCGCCGTCGACATCGGCGGCGGCGGTGGGTAAGCGCCGTAGTGGTAATTGGGAGGCGGCGGCGGGTGGTAAGGCGAGAAGTTACCGGGCGGCCGGTTGGGCGGCGGCGACGGCTGCTGCATGTTGTGGTTGACGGGCGAGGCGTTGGTGAACGGCGGCATCTGGTGCCTGGGTCCCATGGGGCTGTCCGCGAACCTGGCCATCGAGGGTCCGCCTCGCACGTACGGCGGCGGCGGCGGCGGCGGCGTCGGTCCTCCCTTGGCCAACGGGCTGCCGGCCGACGGCGGGATCATCGCCGGTCCGGGCGTCAACGGGGAGCTGCGATCCCTGTTGATGGAGATCGGCCCGCCGCCGGACGGCGACGGGTCCATCGGGTGGCGGCCGGTGTGGTACATCTGCGGGCCGGGCACTCGCATGCGCATCGCCGGCGTTCCCGTCCCGACCGCGGCGAAATGCGGCGGCATCGAGGACTGGCCGGCCTGCCGGTACGGGGACGGGATCCTGGCGCGCGGCTGCATCTCGTATCCCGTCCGTGGGCCGCCCATCATTTGCCCGGCCGTGTTGGGTGCGCCGAAGTACTTGTGGCCCATCGCCGCCGCCGCGACCGTGAACGATTGCGGACTGCTGGACACCGGCTGTGACTGAAGCATCCTCGTGATCACGGTGGACTGTTGTTGACCAGGCGCGAGCGACGGATAAACCGGCTGCTGCGTGTTCGAGGGTTGGGTCGACGGCGGGCCTGGAGTCGGCACGGTGTTCGCCGGTGGTGTGGACGGCGCTGAACCGGATGTACTGCTGCCTGGTGTGGGAAGAACGTTCGGGATATCGTTCTGCTTCATTTCCGGGTTCGAATCGGTTCCCATGCCGAGCAAACCAGCCTCAGCCGCAGCCTTGGCTGCCGCCTCGGCCGCTCTGGCCGCTTCCAGCGCCAACGTCTTCTTACCTTTACCTCGTCCCCGGCGTTTCGGCTTCATCGGCGATCCGTCCGGGTTGAACAGCTGCCCGTCCGGCATCCCACCACCAGTCATTAGCGGGATGTGCGCCCCTTCGGCGCTCCTGTCAGTGTCCGGCGTCAGAACTGCGGACAGGCTCGGATTCACCGGGTTGTGCGAGACGCCGCTGGCGCCGTCCGGAGTGACCGCGGGCGGCATGCTCGCTATTCCTAGATTCGGGGCGCCGTCTCGGCGCATCTGCTCGGCGATTATCTCGGCCTTGCTGCGTCGACCGCGTTTCTTCTTCTTCGGCACCTCGCCGTCCGTGCCTTCCGGTGCGTTCGCGTCCCTCTGCCTCTCCGCCGCCAGTATCTCCAGAGCCTTCAAGCGCGCCTTCTCCAGCTTCTTGGCTTCCCGTTCCTCTTTCTTCTTCTTCTTCGCGATCTCGATCGCAGCGAGCTCGAGCTGCCGTCGGCCGTACTCCTCGTCCTCCATCATCATCTGCTCGAGTTGCTCGTCGTCCAACTCGGCCAATTCCCCAGCACCGAGGCCCGTCAGCGAACCTTCTGCAACGTCTCCCGTGAACGAGCTCGCCACCGACATCGTCGTACCTGTCAACCCGACGTTGTCCGGAAGATTGTCGTCTATCTTGGACGCTATATCGCCGATAGGATTGTCCATGACCGCGCCGATTATATCCCCGTCCACTTCTTCCTTCTGCTTCAATTTACGCGCTTTGTTCTTGCTGCCCGGCTTCGGTCCCGGTTTCTTCCTCTGCTTCGGCGTGTCGTCCGATAACGACTTGCGCTTCGCTGCCGGACTCTTGCTGTTGCGCGGCTTCTTCGCCTTCGGTGACTTGTGTTTCAGCTTCAGAGCGTCCTTCTTGGGAATATAAACGTCCCCTGAAACGATCGAGCAATGTTGTTATTTTCGCAAATCAATTTAAGAACGAGTCCACGACGGTATGACGTCAGTGTCTGATGTAAATACAACGGGAGGACAACGGGTGTTCAACCGCAAGTTTGGTAAAGTAACAGAGAGATGCTGCGTTACCTGAATCGGAATCTTTGTCGCCGTCATCGTTCATTTCGTCGGCCTCGTTCACCACGAACTCGTCTTCGCTTTCCCCGGTTTTCCTCATCATCAGCGCCTTCTTGAGTTCCTGCAAAATATAATCGCAATTTTAATGTGTTGATAACATTGCGAAGTTTAAATCATTCATACCTCTTCGCTATCCGATGCCATCTCTTCTCGGTAATTGATTTTTCGCCCTCGAGTCCTCCTACTTAATATTTCCTCCTCCTCTTGCCTGTTCTCGTCTGGTAATCCGCCATAAATAATCTGCAAACGATGATAATACATGTAAACTATCAACTGATAGAATCTACTGAGTATATACGTATAAAATTAAATAAGAGTCAAGCGCCGATGTGCTAGCGAATATATTAAATTAGAAACCGGCGTTTGGCTCTTGACCTTTTTATCTTTATATAAATATTTAGTGTTATTATAACTGATGTAATTAACATAAATTAATAATAATGAATGATAATGAAGTAAAAAAAAAATTATTATTATTAGAAAACTCTCCTCAGACACAAATCAATCACAGTACAACTAATTTGTCATTGGAGGTAACTTGAAAATATCTTTATTAATTAAGCGGCCTCTACAATGAAAATTTAAGGCACAAAACTTAAGCCTCAGGCTGTAAGAAATTGATCAATCACAATCAATAATTCTTCTCATATTTGATTATGATTGGTCAGTTTCTTACGACTTACTACTTATCCCTTGTCTACAATTTTGCTTTAAGACGTAAACAGTAATCAAATTGACCAACCACGATTTATTAGAAGAATAATCGATCGTGGTTGGTCAATCTGCTTACTGCTTACGTCTTAAAGTAAGATTGTGAACAAGGGATTAAAGCGGAGCCTATAATAAGAATTTAAAGCGTAAGCCTCAAATTATCATTGTAGATCCCGCTTAAGTCTTATGCCTTAAATTCTCACTCTAGACGCAGTTTTACAAATATATTAAGTCTATGGATAGTCTTTTATTTAAATACGAGACAGAGAGAAAATCTGTTAGAACCCAAAACCATACATAAGCGGTTAACATCTATTACTAATAAAGATATGGAAGACACTCTTAGTGACGAATCGGCGGATTATTTGTTACCGTAACTGAAATAACATACCTTTCGTCTAATAGGTGGGACTTTTTTCGGTTTAGGCGCAACATCCTGAAAAATCATATTCGATATTAAATTTCTGCGTCACACTAAGTTAATTAAATCATACTTACTTTTTTGATTTTCTGTATCGGCACTTGCTGCATCTCTTGCGATTGTGGAATCTGCGGGATTAGTGGATCCTCTGAGGTTGCTTCCTGTAACCCTTCATCCTTCATTTCAACATTATTTTCACCCATGTTATTTTCGAAATTCGCCTGTTTATTAACGTCCAGCATTTCGTTTAGCTCGGTAGTGTCCACGTCCGGCAAGTTCGGTTCACAACGTTCTTCGATTTTCGGTTCATCCTCCTCGTCGTTCTCGCTCTGATTGTCGGATTCTATTATACGTTTTCTCTTTTTCTTCTTCTTCCCCTTCGCTTTCGGCACCGTCCTGACTCTGGACGTCGTCATTGTCCTACTTCTACAATGATTATGAATCAAATAACGGTTAAAATATTGTCTTCAGCAATCTGCACTATCATTTTTAATATTAGGCAAAATCTCTCACTTTTTCTTTCTCTGCCTCCACGAATTATCACTGTCTTCGCTGTCCGAATCTCCCCACATCGACCGCGACTTCTTTCGCTTGGGCCGATCACTTTCTTCACTGTCATCATTTACTAGAATAAAAAGTTTTCTATGTAATAAACTATAATGTGAAGTAACGTAATAGTTAAGAAATTATTTTGCCAAAACATGTACCCACGAGAAATGCCATAAAACATAAAACATCGATATTAAGGAGCGGAACGAGTAATTTCTCAATCAATGATGCAAAACTCACTAAAATCATCGTCGTAGCCTCTGGTCATGCGCGCCCTGGTGGATCTTCTGACGGGACGCGAGTCGCCCTTCCTACCGCGTCGTTTCACATCAAAAGTGCTTTCGTCAGACGACGTCATGTGATCGTCGAAGTCTTCTTCGTCCTCGGAACTCGAGCCCTTGAAATCCTCGTCACTCTCAGGATCATCTTCACTGCTTATGTCAAGGCTGTTCAGTTTCCGATGTTTCTTACGCGCCAACAACTTCTTGACAACTCTATTTCGTTCTTCCTCTATCTCGTCAATCATATCCTCGTTTTCGATCTTGTATTCTTCGTCGCTCTCCTTTTCCGATTTCCTATCGATATCGTCCCTGTCTTCTTCCAATTGCGTCATCTTCAACGCCTCGGCCTGGAACGAAGAGATATGTTATGTTAAATCCGGCAATATTACTACTACGTTTTCGCGTGACTCCGCATTCAGTCGTTATTTTACCTGAGCCTGAGCCTCTTCCTTCTCTGCGTTAACTATCGTGGCGATGTCCTTGCCTCTTCCCTGATTGCCAGCACCTTGAACCGCTTCGACCTCATCCTGAATCGCGGCGTTGATCATGTCATCGTATTCGTTGAACTTGTAAGTGCTGGCGCATCGGCGTTCGCGTAACTGATAAACCGGCTCGCTTTCCTCGCTGCTCGATGTTTCCGAACACGAGGCCGATGAGGAAGATATAGATTCTGTCAAAGCAATTTAGAACAACATATATTATGACACTGATATTTGATACTACAATTGAGACAACAATATAATCACTATATAAAGTACGATGCTTGCCGTTATCCGATTCTTGACTGGACGCTTTCGAGCTTTTCGGCAAGCGCTGCGGCGCCTCACCTTTGTGAAGCACGTTGTCCAAGCTTATGCCGACAAATGCTAATCGCTTCTTTCGCAGTGCCTCGTTCTCGTGTCTCTTGGTCAACTGGTCAAATGTTTTTAAGGTCTCCCGTAGCTTCGTCACCAGCAAATTCTTGAAAGACAATTATACACAATAAATATTTATTTACGGACTCACAGATGAACGGATATCGCACAATATTTTCTATATTTCACTGCATGTGGACTTACATGCTGACACGGCGGGCAGAACCAGTCGCCTTCGGGTATGAGCATAAGGGCTGGCCTGAGACATGAGCAATGCCAACCCTTATCGCACGAGTCGCACAATAAAATCCATTCCGGGTGATCAGCCTTGCTACATTTCTGACAAGCGTACTCGTCCTCGGCTTCTTCGACGTCGCTTTGGGCTAATGGAAAATAATAAAACGCGCGCAATAGAATTACACAATTGAATGAGAATTTGATCGAATTCCCTTTTAACGAGGAACTCACCCTTCTGAGCGGTTCTGGCGCGTCTCAACGGTTCCGACTCGTGGTCCTTCTCGAGATCGCTCTCCGGAGAAAATTCGTGATCGCTTTTGAACAGCAAGGAACCCTCGCTCTCCATGTCCTCCTCTTCCTCTTCCTCATTTTCATTCTCCTCGTCGCTGCTCGACCCAGACGAGCTCTGCCATGGATTCGCTTCGTTGAATTTTGCCAGCACCTTTTTCTTTTTCCTCTTTCGCCGTTTCTTCTTGGACTTTTTCTCCTTCTCAATTTCTTTTATGATAACTTCCTCCTCGCTTTCCGGCTGCACAAAAAATGGCCGATTATCCGCACGATCCACAACTGCGATCTTTTCCACGCGTTCACGCGAGAACAGCTTACCTTCTGCTTCTTCCTCTTCTTCTTCTCAGTTTCCTTCTTCTCCTCCAACTCGCGCATGCTTTCCTCCTCGATCCTGCGTCTGTCCGCTTGCTCTTTAATTTTTAACTGCGCTATCCTTCTTGACTGCCTGACAGGCGTTTCGTCCTGTTCCATTGCCGTTTCCGTTTCCAATGCGATGTCTCTGCCTATTTCTAAGCCCAGAACCATTTTTCCTGCGAAAGTAAAAATTTTCCAATCAGTCGGTGCCAATCAACGTTACAACTTCTCAACGAACGGTCCTCAATCGTTGAGCTTCTCAAAAATAATCCAGGGTTTTGCCACAGAAAATGAATTTTAAAATTTTCTGACTTTTCCATGTTTTCCAGACGACAGTGGAGAACTCTCCATGGCCAATATGTAATCTAAAATTGTAACATTTAGCAGCAAGAATTACAGGAAAAGTAGCTTATATTATTAGAAATAACACAAACTTAGAAGTTTAGTAACATAATGTAATCCTGAATGCAAATTCAAGTCAACAAAAAATTGAATATTAGAAAAAAGAATGCAATTATGACGGAAAAAGGCGTTTGAATAAAAACGCTGAATAAAATTGACCAGTCACATTTGACCGTTCTTTTTATAGTCGAGAAATAATCAATTGTGATTAGTCACTTTTCTTATTGTTTACATCTTAGTACTTAAGTTTTTATATGGCCATGGCTTTAAGAAACGTAAGAAATTATTTGTAAAATGCGCGAGTCTTGAACGCATTTGACTATAAATGTTAGATATAATATTAACGAAAAAAAAAAGTTATAAGAGTATTCTTTAGAATAAGAACATTTAATACTAAAAGTACCGAGCGGTCATTTCTGGTCGTTTCTGTTTTTACATTAATCCCTATTTCTCGTGTAAAAAGATAAGATTTCGAAATTTTCTAATTTTTCATCAATTATTTCCTTTATTGAATGATTGATGAAAAGTCACAAAATTTCAGAATCTTATTTTTTTTTACACAAAAAACAAGGTATTAATCTATAAAATAGAAACGGAAACGACCGTTCGGTACAATGAAGGAAATCGTGAGCAAAACTCCAAATTCCAGGCTCTTTTATATCTTTCCAACTTTTCCAAAGGTTTTCCCCAATATAGATTTTCCATGATTTTTCCCGGTTTCCCAGGTATATGGCAACCCTGTGATCATTACATCCGTGTACTCACGTTTCTTCCGCCTCTTTTGCGTAGTGGGTGTCATGTTAAGAGCGTCGTTAGGAGCCCCGTCGGGATGAATACCCGCCGGCACTTGATCGCCCCGAAATTCAGTGACTTTCGGCCGGCTGGGTCGCCCGGCACCGCGAAAGCCACGCCTTCGTCTGCCTCTGGGACGACCTCTGGCCTTTCTGTCAATCACCGTGGCGTGTATCATGTTCGGATCGTCGCTGCTGTCCTTATGCACGTGCTCCGTCACGTTCTCGGGAACCTCGCACTTCACCGCCTCATCCTCGGAGCTTACAGCCGCTACCACTCGACTCTCCTCGATCGACTTTCGTAGTTCCTTGTCAGGCATGCGTTTCCCGCGCAACTTCATCCTTTTACCGCCCATCATCTCCTCGTCCTCTTGCTTGGCGGCCCCGTCCTCCGAGTTCGACTCGTGGGCGCTGTTTCGTCGCTTCCGCGAGATCTTCGGAGGCTCCACGGTGTTATCCAGCTTCCATCCCTCGTAAACCAGCTCGGACACCGGTTTCACGCGAATGCTGATCTTGGAAGGGACTTCGTCCTCGGCGATGTTCTTCAGAGCGTCGTCGTCGGTACACGCTAAAGGATCGGCTTCCTCCGACGGTGCATTAAAGACACTCTCGTTGTCCACGCCCGTCGAGTCGTCGGAAACATCGCGAAGCTCCTTCACCTCGACATTCTGGATCTCCGAGGACTCTTTCTTCTCCGGCGCCTCCACGCTCTCGTTCTTCTTCGAGTCTTCCGTCGGCGCGGAGTCGTTGACCGTGCCGAAATCGTTCTGAAACAACTGCATCGTAGGGATCGCCGCTGGTTTCTCCTCCCGCTCTTCCCCCACTCCAACATTCGTCCCCAATTTCACGACCTCGGCGAGCGTGTCCAAAGCTTTGGGCTCTTGCGCATCGGCACTCACCAAGTTCTCCAACGTCTTCCCTTCGGCTTCCAAGTACGGAGGCTTCGACTTGATCGGAGGGACGCCTTCCACGTCGGTAGCGTCATTCAGCCGCTTGCTCGCTTCTTTCTTCGAGTCGGACTTGATCTCCGAAACGGTCTCTCGGGCGGGAAGCAACGCAGTCGATTCGTCCGAGCCCGAACTCTTGTTAAAGTTCTCGCTGATCTTATTTACATTTATATTTATATTGAACGGCTCATTTTGATTGTTGCAACTGTCCACGTTGTTGATACTCTCCATCTTCGTGGACATCGAGTTCGGGTAATACATCGCATCGGACGGCATGCCGCCTTCCAAGCTCGCGTCCTCGCTTCTCCACGTGTGCGATTTGCCCGCGGTCAACAACGCGTTATCCAATTTCACGGGCATAACTCCCGATTCGACGTGCATCGGTAAGCTCACGGCCTCGACGAACGGTTTGGTGAAGCATTCTTCGGCCAATTTCGCGTCGCCTTTATTGCCGTTGCCGCGACACTCCTCGAAGTCTTCCTTCAATCTCTTGCACGGTTGCGTAATAGGCAGCTCCTCGATAATGCGTTCAGCGTCTCCCAGCTTCGCGATGCTCTCGATGTTTACACGTTCGACGCTCGGTCTCTCGTCCACGTTTACTGCAAACTGCTCCTTCGCGTGCCTTCGTACGTCGATAACCTGGCTGTCCACGTCGTTGAATCCCGTGCTTCCACGGGCGAGCGACGACTTCCCGAATTTATTCGCGTCGTTCTCACCGAGCTCACGGACGCTCTCTGGTGTTGCCGAAAAGTCCGTTTTCTCCGGCGTTTCAACGGTATCTTGCACGTTCTGAGTCGCCCTCGCGTTGTCCATCAAATTATTCAGACGCTCCTTGCTCTTCTCGCTATGACTAACAGTCGTCCCAGCACTCTTGCTCAGAAGAGGCTCGCTGGTTTCCTCGATCACAGCTGAAGCGTCCGCAAACTTCCTTTCCGACTCTTCCTTCCGATTTTTTGAGTCGATCCTTTGAAGATTCTCTTCCTCCTGATCACTCGAGTCTGACTCTTCCTTCTGATTCTTCGAGTCTGACTCTTCCTCCAATAGTATGGGAGGATCGGCAACCGAGACATCGCGGATATCCGCTTCGTCCCGAAGCCCATCTCTATCCGACGGCGTTGCCGAATCGTTGCTCGAATGATCTTCGACGCTATTGTAAACGGATTTGTCTTGTGCCTGGTCGGTGAATTCCTTTTGCGTGTTAATTTTAACATCTTGTTCCCCGACTGCGATGTCTCGATTCGGTAGCTCGTTCACTTTGGCAGGTTCCTCCATCTGCTGTTCAATAACCGACTGTTGTTCCACGGGCGCATTGGACACATCGGATGTCAGATTCAAGCTGTTGATTTCGCTTTCCTTAATTGTGGGCTCCTCGTGAGGCTCCTGGATTTTTTCTTCTTGCGAAGAGGCGACGTCGTCCTCGGAGTCACCAGCTTGCGCCATAGCGTCAGGCTCGAAGACATCGTCGCTACCGTCGTCGTTGGAATCACTACTGTCGTAATTCGCGACTAACGACAGTTTGTTATCGCTTATTACCTCCCCTTCCGATTCCTGAAGAGTCACGTTCATTGTATCCATCTCTAATTCCGGCACAGTCGGAGCGTCCGATTCTCCCGCGCTCTTGGCGATCTCCTCACAGACGTCCTCCGCAGTATCCTGTTTGTCGTCACTGGGAACTTGACTCTCGTCATTTGCAGCGACGATCTCTTCGAGATCGTTGGCCGCCTCACTCCCTACGTCAGCTTCGGCTTCCTCCTGTTCCGGGACCTCAGCTTTCGCCGCGATCGGACAGGATTCCGGCTCGACGCTCGTCGGGATCTTCAGGTCTTCTTGCTTTTCCGGTTCGCACGTTGTAACCGCCTGTTGTTGCTCCGCACTCATGGCAACCTCGTCGATCTCTTTGGACGATTCGTTCGATTCCGACACGCGATCGTCTATAACCATCTCCTCCTCGTTCGAATCCTGATCGATGCAAGAGCTGGGATTTTCCGAGACATCGTCGGCGTACTCGGACTGCGCCAAGTTAGACAGGCTCGTTTCTTTCGCGGTTCCCGCGATACCGGACACTTCGAGGTTATTCGTTTCGGGCGTCGGCAGGATGTCGAACGTGGAAGGCTTATCGCCGACACCCGACGCGTCCTCGACCGTTTCGTCGGCTCTCCGCGCAGGTTCGCTCTCTTGGGACGAAGAGTCATGTACGCAGGCGTCGTCCGAACTGCTTATGGTAGGAACTAAATCACGCTTCTCGCTCTCCGGCGCCGACTCCGAGCTAGTCACCACAGAACTCTCCGGCAAATTCGCCTCGGGCTCGATAGCGAACGCAGTATCGTTGATCTGTATATCGTTCAGCGCCTTCTCCTTGGCTTCCTCGGAGTCGCCCGACCCTTCGTCTTGCATCCCCATGTCCGACAGGGCGTCGGTTCTCTCGCTGCTCCTGTCGTAGTTGACGCACATCGAATCGGCGTCGGAGCCAGCCAGGCCCTTCATCTTCTCATTGTCCGTATCGGTCGAGTGATCCTCTTGGCCGTCGATCTCGGAGAAATTGTCGATCCTGTCGCTCTGCTTGTCGCAGCTCTCCCCGGCCGAGTCGAGATCGTTCTTCTGGAGCGCCTGGTACTTCTCGGCCGCGTCCGTCTGCCTATTCATTTCCTGGTATCCCGTCGCATTCGTGGAATCCAGCAACTCGCTCGAGTTGTTGCCGTCCTCGAATTCACGGAGATCGGCCAGCTCCGGCTGGGAGTTCTGAGTGAGGGACGACAGTGACGAATGCGCCGTAGTCACGGACTCGGTTTTCTCTTGATCTTCCTTGAATACGCCGGTGGTAGGCGACTGACAATCGTCCCCATTCTTAAAGCCATTGGCCGTCGACGGCTTGTCGCTCTTCTCCTCCTCTTCCGATAACTGCGACGTAACATCATCCGGTCCCTCGAACGGGCTCTCCTGATTTTCCGTGAATTTCCCGGAATCGGCGGACTGGTCGCACCGCGACGGTTCGCTTTCCGCCGGCTTCACCACGCTAAGCTCGCTAGCCGAAGTGATATCAACCGGCTCTTCCTCGGTCGTGTTTATCTCGTCTATACTATCGCCCGCGAATATCACCTCTGATGTAGAGCTTGTGTTTAATTTGCAGCTATCACCCTCTTCCACTTCTTCACCAGTGCAGAGAGACCCTTCCACATTCGGCTCTCCACTTGTTGTCGTTTGAGCTTGCGTTTCGCTGGACGAATTAGCGACACTCTGTTCGGGTACTTCGCTCAGGTCTTTCGAGCTGCTCAGCGCGGTGGAAGTCTGCTGATTCCACGCTTTACCCGATTCTTCGGTCTCCTCGGTATCCTTGCTACCGCTGCCACCTCGGGCGTCATCGGGTTCCGCAGTGAACGGATTCGTCTTGAAAGAATTGTTATTCGTTCGCGTCAAGTCGAAATCCTCCGTCCTGTACAAATAGGACGCGTCGTCCACCGACTTCGACGACGACACGCACTCGTACTGCACGGTGTCGGCTCTCGTCGAGTGCGCAGATGCAGTCAGACTTTGCTCCGGCTGTGAACCCGGCTCGTCGGACTTTGAGGTGTACGAAATACAGTTGGGTCCAAAAAAAAATCTCGGCGGAGAAGCGGCGGCTGGCTTGCATTCGTTGTCCGACTCGCGCGAAGCTACGCCAATCGGATCGAAGGTATTTTGTACATTGGCCGAATCTTCGGAACTCGTGCACGATTCGAGTCGCTGCGAGGTGTCCGGCTGACACGACGACACGGACGAGTCGCACTGCGTGGGCTCTTGAACCTTCGAGTCCGCCTTTTGTCCCATCGTACTCGTGTTATCCGAACTTACGTCCGACACTTGGGACTTGGCACTGTCCTCGGTTGTTTCACTCTCCGTCACGGAGTTACCGTCCACCTTGACGTCTTGATGCGCGCCAGCGGAATCCTCGCGTTCAGCCCTGGACGATTTCGCGTCCATGCTCGAGAGCCTCCGGCCCGCGTCGCCATCCTCACGATCGTTCGTACTTTCTCTCAATGATATGTCTCCTTCGTTTGATATGATACTGCTGTCGCATTCCGCCTTCTCCTCCGGTTTACCCACGTCCCACCTGGACAGCCTTTTGACGGGGCCAGTTGTACTCTTCGGTATTACCTGAACGCCTAACGTCGGCTTGAACTTTGGCTTCTCTTGCATAGAATCTACTATTTCACAATTATCGTTTACGCTTACATTAGACTGCGGGTAGTTTCTATTTAATTTTACAGGGGGTTTATTCGACACTATCGAGTCCGCGGACACCTCGTCCTCGGTTAAAACCTTATTCTGCGACAGCGTCGCGCTGGCCGAGTCAGGTTCATTTTTTGATTCGTTGCTTTCTTTATTGTCAGTGGACGCGTCGTCGCCGGGGTTACCCGTGTCGCATTCAGCGCCGGAGCCTTCGCCGTAAAAAAAAGCCGTCGGTTCTTCGATAGCCTCACCGACGACGGGATTCACCGCGTCGCAGTCGCTGCCGGATCCCTCACCCTGAACCATCATCATCGGCTCCTCGATGGCTTCGCCCACCTCCTCCCTCCAGCTGTTGCTCATCATCGATCTCTTGTCCATGGAGGCTCTGATCGGAATGACGTCGCCTCTTAACCTCTTCAATATGTCTTGCTGGGCGTCGTCGCCCTCCAATGGACGTTTCAACGGCGTCGTACTCATTCTCAGAGCAGTGATCTTGCTGGGATCGGGGAGTATCGTGTAGCTCGGTAATCTATGCTCGTCCTTCGCGGGTAACCTCACCGCGTTATGATACGGCGTCGAAGACATTTCGTACGTGGAGAACGGCATCTGCCTTTTGCTCAGGTCGGCCAACATCGCGTGATTCCGCATCATCACGCTCCGCGCGTCGTACGGTAAGTTGGGAACCTCCGGCGGCTTGTTCGACTTCTTCGTGCTGAGATCCATCTCCCTGTGCTGGAAGTCCGGCGCTCTGTATCCGGGGGAGGGCAGGTCCACCACCGTTTTGGCCAATTTTCGACTAGAAAGATCGATCCCGGAGAAATCCATCGGTCGGTTTTGTTCGTTCGCGTTCTCCCAGCCTCGCGGCGACGTCGATAAATCCATGCCTCGGTGTCCCCGGAGCATCGGAGGCTTCTCGGACTGATTCCTCGCGCAGAAATCCTGCGGCAACCTGTCGTCCTCACCTCCGTTCGTCACGTTGCCTAGCGTACCGCCGGACGACCTTGCCAGAGATTCCGCTATTTTTTCCAGCGACTTCGGTCCACTCGGCTTCTCCAGCTTCTCCGACTGTATCCTCACGAGATTCGCGGCCAGTTGGTCTATCGGTTTGACGGACAACTTGCTGTGCCCCACGGGAATCGAATCGACAGTCGAAAATGGTAGACTGTTCTTGCCGGGTAACTTATCGTGCGTCTTCACGACGGGATCCATCGGGATCTCGTCGACGGCACTGTGCTTCTTCGCCGTGTTTAATACTGCAGCAATAGGCGTCGTCGGGCTTACTAACTTCTCCTCCGGCGCCTGCTTCAATTCGGCGATGTTGACCAATTTCAGCGGAGACGTGATGACAGGTGTCTCTATCGATTTCAACGGCACCGATTCTTCGAGCTCGCTTTTGGCGGCGCTTGTTATCGTGAGCACGGTTGGTTTATGCATCACCGGCGACTTAGTCTCTGACGCTAAGGAAGCGGCAGATGTTTCGTCGGTAGCCTCTCTGTTTGCATCTTCCGCTGGTATCGCATCCGCCTTCGTCGTCTTCAAATTGTCTATACACCTTGATTCTGCGCTCGGAGTTTGTACCATTTCTTGAGAATCGTCTTCCTCCGTGATTTGCTTGGAACTTTCATCGTTCGTCACATCCTCCTCCCCGTCGATGTCCTCGTCGTCATTTTCAGCTTCGTTACCTATATCATCCTGATCCTGTTCTTGGTCTTGATCCTGCTCTTGTTCGTCCTCAAACTCATCGCTCCTACCATTCGGTAGCTGCTTGCCGTTCATCCCATTCGCATGGGCGTTATTTTCTTGCACAACTTCGTCCTCCAGACTCGGAGATGTCGTTACTTGGCCGGTGTCTATTATAGGTTTCTCAGAAATTTCCAAACTGTTGCTATCCTCGTTGATCGGTATAGCTCCAGCCTCGCCGTTCGACAAGGTGTTGATGAGATTGACAACACCTTCTCGATCCCTATTACGAATGTCATGGTACATGAACTACCATTGAAAGATAAAATTATTCAAGAACTACAAATGAATTATCCAGAATTACAAACGTATATTTCATCCAAAGCGTTATTATTCAATACGTGAAAACAAAAAACTTACTTAGCCACTAGTTCCCAATTCTCTTCATCCAAATCTTCCCTATAGACTCTTATGTTGCACTCTTCATCCAGCTGACACCAATACGCTAATCCACTTTTATCCCTTCCTAACGGTTCCACGCGCAATTCATCGGCTGCCAATTTGTTCACCTCGTTCTTAAACTTTTGATTTAAGTCAAACTGTGTTTCCAATAGCACCTAAAATAGAAGAAAACACTTGTGCACATCAGGAAGAATTATCTCTAGCATGTTATACGTCAGAGAAGCCGAAGTCACACATGGATCATACTTTAAGTAGACGCAGTTTAACAGCAATACGGGCTTTCTTGTAGCCAAAGCGTTCAAGTTCCCATCCATCCTGATTAGAGTACGTGTGGCAAAACTTGACTAGCGCCCGTTCCCACTTTTCTGGCGAGACAGTTTTACGTGTTTTACGTAATAACTTGACATGCAGGTCTACTAGTTCTTGCGATACTAAAAAAAAAACATCAAACATTTGTCAAAATCGTGAACAAGTATAGACAAAGTGTGTTTGTATCTCATATTGTCGACCAAACTTCAACATGGGACTTATTAAGAAACAAAAAAACTCTAGATAAAATTGAACTCATCTGTCATTCTTGAATGGATAATCTAATAATAAAACAATACTAATGTAGAAACTAGCGCAAACGAAGGGGCAATTTCGATGAATATTATTGAGATGCTGCAGAAATATAACTTAAGATTAACGTAAAATCCGGATGATACGAATAACGCCGGCCAACAAATACATATTTCTGTATTCGACAACCCAGGGCTGAGAAAGCATCCATTAACGCGGGTTCCCGTTCGCGGGGTACAAGCGTCGTCGCGACGCATCGAGCGCCCGTTGACGTTTCCGCGAAATCGGAGCAGCGGGCCGGCGCTTGTAACTCGTAATCACGTGTAACCGACAAGTTGACAACAAGAGAGGTGGCAGCACGCGGCGGAATAACAACAAACGGCGAAACTCATTCCGCGCCTATCTGTCAGTCAATAACACCGCGAAAGCAAGGAGAAGACCGTGTCGTCAGGCCGCTCTCAGGTCGGCGCGCAAGGCGGAGGGTGAGGAGGGACGGGCAGAACCGCCAGCTAGCGATCTCGCGCCACAAGCTCGCTCGCTCGCGCCACCAAAACAAAAAGCGGCCCGTCACACAGAGCCGACACGTCCGTTGTTCTCGGCCGCCGCGCGAATCCGGAGCGAGAGCGGCTGCTCGCCCGAGCGTACCGCGAGCGTACAGACGCGTAGAGACGAGGCTCGCAGTCGAAGCGGAGTCGTACGAAGGAAACTAATAGTACGCGCTAGACGACTGCGGCCTCCTCTCCGGCGGGGGCGGGTCGCGGTCGTCGTTCCCCCTCGCTCGCTCTCGCCGTACCTCCGTGCTCTAGCTGTCCACCCCTCTCTTTCTCTCTCCCGCCGTCTATCGTGCGCGTATATATGTATACACAGCCGTGCAGTGTCTCTCTCTCCCTCTCATCCACGCACGTATACACACACACACACACACGCGTACATTCTTTCTTTCTTTCTTTCTCTTTTTCTCTTTCTCTCTCTATCTCCCTCTCTCTCTCTCTCTTTTTCTCTCCGTCCCTCCCTGCGGCGCGCGCGAGAGCAGCACGTACACACGAGTGCAGAGAAGAGACCGGAACGTAATAGAGACCTACCTTCGATTGTGTTCTCGAGCATCTCCTGGAGCCGCGCGATGTCAGGGTAAACGATGCCGCAGGACTTGCCGAAGCAGCCGAGAAACGAACAGATCACCGCGAAATTTGGGTCACTCGCGCAAGAGGCTTCGTTATCGGACGCCATTTTTCCGACCGCTTCTCACCGTTGGGCCTCGTCGCTACCGCTACCGCCACCGCGACGGCCACCGCCAGTGCCACAGCCACCGCCACCGACACCGCCAACGCCACCACCGTCGCCGCCGCCGCCGCGACGAGCGCCAGGCAGGCGAGAAATACTAACTCGCTAGGTGGGCTGACGACGACTCGCCGCGCATCCCATTTTCCCCACACAGGCTGCTCGCTCGCTCTTTCTTTCTCTCTCTCTCTCTGTCCGCCGCGAGTCACAAGCGGACACGGCAGATCGACAAATCGCGCGCGCGTTTAATCAGCCCGGCGTCGTTAGCAGGTAGTTGGCCGCCGGGCGTCGGGACGCCGACGCTTCTCCCTTTCTCGCCACTTTCGTCTTCCTTCACCTCCTGTTGTTCGTTCGTTCGTTCGCTCGCTCACTTGTTCGGACGGTGCGCTCGCGCGCGCGCCTCCTCTACCTGCCGCTCTCGCCGTCGACGACGAGAGGGGACACCAACACGCACACACACTCCGAGGAGCAGAGAAAGAGACAGAGATACCACTCTCGTCCGCCCTCTCGAGAGCGGACGAGCGAAAAAAAAGCGCCACCGCCGCCGCTCCTCTGTCTCTCTCTTTCTCTCCCGCGCTCTTTATGTCCCCCCCTCTCTCTCTCTCCTCTTCCTCCTCCTCCTCCTCGCTCTCCTCCTCACCGATCTATCTTTCTCTTTCTCCACCGCTTTCGCACCTTTTACACGGATCACTAACACAAACACATCGCACGCTAGAGCCCTGCGCTCGCTGTCCCTTTCTCTGTTCTCCGTCTCCCTCCTCTCCCTCCCGCCCTTTCCGCCGATCTCGCTGCTTCTCTCTCTCGCACGTACATTCAATGTCTCACTCCGTCGATGCCGAGAGCGCGCGCGGGCGCTCCCGCGCACGCACGTACGCACGTCGCGACGACGACGTTAGTCAAGGATTCAGCACGACGTAATACACGATCCGACACAGATATCACACGACGCGAACGGACGTTTCGCCGAACTTGCTGCAGGCCGCGACGCTCGCGTCCTACACGGACGTGCGTGTGACGCCGCACACGATCGCCAAGTCACCGGGTGCACACGAGCAGCGCAGAAACGACCACCACGACGACGACCAAACGCAGCCCCCTTCTTCGTCGCGCAACACAGCGCACTGGACATCGCCTTCGGGATTGGAAACATACGGGCGGTTCTCAACTTGGACGACGGACGCGCGGCGCGTCCAGGCTCGTGTTTCACAGGCGGCGTTCGTGAGCGGATCAAGTATATCGATGAGAAGTTTCAGTATGAATAATTCATTTTATTGTACGATTATTTACAAATTGTTTATATACTTACCGGTCAGCGTTTGTCTAAATCTGATAACAGCAATGGAGAGGCGATAACCGTCGGTATATACAACGTGTGAACGATATTAATGTATAATTAATTGGATAATTTAATTTATTAAATTGTAGTTTATTAAGTAGATGAATAAATGTTATTGTTAAATCATTATCGGTGGAAGGCAATTTACTAAAACAAAGCGACCGATAGTTATAACTTGCTAAATGCTACTATTAGATTTAATAAAACAGTCAATTGTTACAATAACTTCGTTACAGCGTGTATTATTGTATCTTGTTTTTTTTATATTGTAATTTTGTGAGATACTCCTAATTGTATTGAGATTCGTATAAGAATAAATATTTTATATTTCTGTAAGTATTTCCTGTTACTGATCTCGAAATCATTTTGATGTTGCTATTTATCACGTATGGAAAAAACTGTTAAAAGAATTGATTAAGATATAAGATTTAAATGAGCATATCGCAGTAAGTGGAAAGGATCCTTATTGACTCGAGACTGCGCTGACCATACCTATGTTCAAGCCGCGTTCACAAGAACCTCTCTCTCTCTCTCTCTTTGTCTGTCTCCTTGTCACCTCCTCTATCTTTCTCTCTATCCCTACGCTCGCTTGGCCAGTTATCTTTCTAATCACGCATAAGGCCGAGTCACTATTCGGTCCGCGATGTTACAACCTTCGTTTTCGGCGTCTCGGCACGGGTTCTCACGCGTTCCGTCCGTCGAAAATGAAGGCCGCTCAGAAAGAGCGCGAAAAACCACGAACAGGATGTCAGCCGCGTGTCTCGAGGCTCCCCCGAACGACGACGCTCTCGCTCGATGACGTATCTGCGCAGCTCGCGAAGAGCATGAGCTCGCGTCGCAGGGCGGCACCTGAGGAAAATACGAAAGGATACGACCGATGGAAAGTTAAATAACACGCGCGTTAGTGTAGGACGATGTGAAAAGAGATGACCTATAGAAAGCGGAATTCCGCGCGCACTGGTCACCGACGCGCGAACTTCGTTAATAAATATATTATATATAACGTTTACACGGGTCATCGAAGCCTGTCGCGACTCCGCAGTCATTGAATAATACCGATGATAATCACGGGGCAACCAAGGTCCAGCTCGCGTACGGCCCTGATCGGCGGAAAGGAGGAGGACGTGAGGCTCGAAAGCACTTGCGAGCGCACGTTTCTTTCAAATTTAGCTCTCGAGCTGACCGTAGAATTCTACCTGGCGAGCTCCTCGCATTTTGAGTGGGAAGTGATCGCTACTCGAACTGATTTTCAACTGCAGAAAGAAACATATGCAGTAACGATGCTTAGATATTTTTAAAAACGGCGCAATAACGGGTGTGAAACGCCGTTGAAAGAAACGGCTTAGGCCCTTTCGAAGCTGTGAAGCGCGCAACAGCGTCGACGGGTCGAGCTTCGGGATCGATCGGCGGCCCGACGAGGGAATGTACATCCGATTGCCCCGACGTGGGAACGAAATCGAACGCGCATGAAAGCGATTAAGTTCGCGCGCGATTTTTCGAGTTCGAGGCGCGGGGAAAAATTGCGAAATTCTTTCTTTTTTCTTTGTTTTTCGGAGACGCGTCGAGAAACGTTTTTATAGAAGGGGCTGCGTAATAGGTGTGTCAATGGGTTAAGTTATTTATCGATCGTGCGCACAGCTGCCCACCCTCGAGAGAAAGCGAGAGAGAGGGAGAGAGACAGACAGAGAGAGAGAGAGAGAGTTAACCGAGGACGCCCATGGGCGCGACGATTCGATCGATCGCGGTGAGAAGTCCGTCGCCGAGATGCGAGAGAACGAAGATGACGACGAGAGGAAATGTCGCTGCAACATCGCCAACAACTCGAGCCTAGTTCAACCCTGAAGGGTTGAATTTGTTATCATTACAAACGCGAAAAGCACATGTGCCTCGCGCAGAAAAATATACATCGTCTTCTCGTCGGCACGAATACAAGTCGAAGATTATTTTCACCATGGTTATACAATATCAAAATCTGAATCTCGCGAAATTGTATAATTGTTCTACACGTGTACTTTCTACGCTCATGCTGCTACTGAGCTTGCGAAGTAAAGCCAAGGTAGCTCTCGCGTCTTGCAAGAAAGGCAAAGGGTGGCGGAAGAGGGAAAAGTGCAGTCGAGTGTAGAAGGTACAGGCGACGCGACAAATCTACCGGCCGCGATCGATCGCGCCGGCGGAGGCTGGGAAAATGTCACGTATCTAGATAGATGTAGGCAACAATAGGCAACTCTCCGTTGGGCCATCGACACGTGGCGCGGGATGACCTCTCGATCGATAGGATTGCACGATAGTCCGTAGGTTGGCGGGCAAAAATAGCGTCCGCGACGCTCGGGACTTGTCCAGGCGCGACGAGAGAAACAACTAATTAATAAAAAAACTTGAGAAAAAAGTGTACATGAAGTTGCAGCGCATACGGAAAGGTTAATTGAACGCTTGAACGTTCAAATAGCCATTGTATAGGCTTACAGTTAAATCCAATCGGTTCTTTTATCCCCAATTCACTAATTCGTCAAGTTTTTAAAATGTAGGATTAAACGTATGTTCTTGAGAAAAATATCGAAATTGATTGAACGGCGAGATTTCGTGAGAATGCAGTACTGACACTTGTTTCTTACACGATGACGTATTATTTACATTAATTTTTGCAGTATTCACGCTTACATTGCTGATCATAACTTCGACACAATATCAAATATCGACGCAAAGTACTTTTACGCACAGCCTTTACTCCTGATATTTTCATAACTTGTAATCAACAATCTTTATTGGCGTATGTATAAAGTTATATTTACAATGTACATTACTAAAAAAAAGTCTTAGCCTATATTATCTAGCGTAACTCGTTGCATTCCACAACTTTGTGTCGTTTTAAACAACTCGTCGTTTCTTTTTTGTACCTGAAATCTCATCAACTACTCTCCTCTTCACATCTGCTGTACGTAAAATCATTTCGCATTTCTGATCGATAGCGCCTTGAAAGCTATTGCGTGTTATCAAACAGTTGTTCCAAGAACTAATTAATTAAAAGAATTACATACAAAAAATTTGGATTCCCTTGCATTTTCGCAAGAGCTGACGCGATTATCGCGTTGAAATCGTAGTTGTGAGGTAGCTGCTGAGAAATTTATTTGGAATGCAACCATTTCGTTTTAAAACGTGTGAAGTATACGAAGTAATGCGCAGCAGCGCATCGAATAGCGCGCGAATTTATTTTACGCGCGTTTCATACATCGTCGGAAGTTCGGCTAAATCGTACATTGTAAGTTCTACTTACAAGCGTACAGAACATCGTGAATGTCTGATGTATGTATGTAACAATATGCAAATCTGGCGATATTGATCATAACTCCAAAAGTTTATATGTATGTATAAATATATACATGGACTTCATATTAGATTCAACAACTCGGAATATATTCCTTATCTCTCGGTGTCTGGTAACCAATCGTAACAGTCGTCGTAGAAGCATAATTTGCGATATAAAAGTAGAATATGTATAAAATAGACCGTAAATGGTTTATAAATATTAACGGTACAAGTCTCCGCACTGTACTTCGCATATTTCCTATTCGCTATTTAATGACCGTCATAGAATATAGAAATGATTGACATGTTTGATAAGTGTCATGAAATAACTGGCACAATCAACATCCTCATCTACACAGAATATAATTGAAGTAAAATAATTATCTGTTATCATTTTTTTCTCTCTTTTTTTCTTGCAGCCTTAATTACTTTGGTCATTGCCGCTTAAAATTTTCATATCAAATTTTCATATCAAAATTTAATTTTTACGTTTACACCTATTACAAAGAGAGGAGTAGCGAGACATACTTTGTGTAAATACTCACAATATATATATGTCGGGTTGAACGATTAGTATATATCATATACTAAATAATTCTACAGAATTATCCGAAATTTTATCCAATCAAAAATTTAATTACTTTTGCTCAACATGTGTATGACCTGATAGCTATATATAATAATTTTAGTTTGAAAAACAGATTAATTATTAATTTTTACATGACACATCTGCAGGAAACAAAATAATTGTTATATTTATACATTATTCTTTAAATTAGTTCGTCAAATTATGATTTTATCGTTTCTATTGCTCCTGTAGATTTGTCTTATCAATTTTACTCAATTCATTTCATATATTTCACATATGATTAATATATCTTTTATATTTACACGTATATGGTAAAAGAAATTATTCATAACTACTGATGAAATGTAAATCAAGTTTGCGTAATGAACGTTTCACAAGGAAATGTTTTTTACAGGGAACATTCGGTCTCTTATAGCTATTTGTTGTAAAGTTGTATACAATGAATTACGAATATGGCAAATTCTTACGAAGCTCGTGATATTTGTGCAAACAAAATAAATTGAGATATAAAGAGAAAATTTCGATTGAAATTCTTCGAGAACCCGATAATAAAATAAAACGTCTTCCAATATAAATAGATTCGATTTACAAATTAAGAAACTGAATAAAAAAAACTCTTACTTGTACAAAATCGTTTAGATGTGTTTTTGCGCCGTGAGGTTCTTGATTTGCTGTTTATATATTTCCACTTCCCTCTCTTTTTTTTTGTATTGCTTAAAATATTCGGCTGCTTGTCTTTGTGTCTCCATTAACTGCTTAGTCAATTTCGCAATGTCTGTTACTGCTTTAGAGTCTTCTAGGTTGTCCTCTTCGGTAACTTCTTCTATGTCATCGTTTAATTTTAAAATTATTGGTTCAGCGACCTTCGTAGAAGTCACAGCTTTATTCTATATTTATAAAATAAAGAAAACTGTTCTTATCAAGTGAAATTACGTACTTGATATATATTTTCTTTCTCTTTTCTATTCAAAATTTCTTTTTAGTATATTATTAATTTAGTATGTAAAGTAATTTTACCTCGCTTGTTGAAAAGGAGGAATTGCTGGATTCACTAACAGTTGGTACTGTCGTAGTATTAGGAACCGTTGTAAGAAGTACTTTTCCAGCTTTGCTATCTATAGAAGATCTTTTCAAGATATTTGGAGCCCGTGACGTAACGGTAGGTATATTTTGACTTACGATTTGATTCGCTTTAATTGCTATGACTTTTCTTGCCGTTCCTTTTCGGGGAGAAACTTGAATTCGTCTTATATTAAACGAACCTCTAGTTGAATTTAAAGCGAGTTTTCCAGCTTCTACAATTATTATCGTGAAAAATATTGTATATGTCGATCTTCCCTCTTGTTCCTAATATTTAACAGAGTAAAAGCCGAACCTGTTAAAACCACCGTTCTTCCACTTTCCATTGCATTTTCTACTATAGATGATTCATCGTCAACAGGTATCATCGTGATCCCATGCGCTTCTAACAGTCTAAATTGTTTGTTAACATTTCCTATCGACGAGATGTCTTTATGTTTTTTACTGTTTATAGTATCGTTTATATTGATCATTTCAATATCATCCATTTCCTTTTCTTGCTCACTGCCACTAGGTGATACACGAATCTGTTGAAAGATCATTTTTGGCTTTCCCTCACTTTGAGCTGCAATTTTACATGTATAGGAAAGTACATAATAAATAAAAATTGAAAATAGAATATTATTTTTACAAAAAAATATGTTTCTATATTTACCTTGGGTAAGCTTTTGTTTAGGCAAAGATAGCTGCTCCAACGATTCCAATTTATTCTTTATCTCATCAGCCTCTAATTGCATTAAATTATGCGTAGCTGCTTCCAATTCTGCAGAATTAGCTTCGCTTTGCTGGTGAGCTTTAATACCTACTATTTCCCTTTCTTGTTGTAATATATCCACTAGATCTAATCTATCGTGCTCCAATGCAAGGCTGATAGGAGTTTTGCCGAATTTACTAATCGCCCCTGGATCAGCTCCATGCTCCAATAAAGTATGTATTATCCTTACATGTTCACGTTCTACCGCCCAATGTAACGGAGTCATTTTCAACTGAAAGAATTGTTCACGTTAATTTTATGAAGTAACTATTTAGTATCTCTATAATCTATATTCTGATATTGTACCATGTCTCTGCTATCGACATCTGCTCCATGATATAATAGCAACTGTACCATTTGACAGTGGCCCTCGTATACTGCCATATGTAACGGAGTTCTATCAACCTTGGTCTTAGCATCTCTCGACATTCCAGCTCTGAGTAATATCTCAGCAATATCCCTGTGATTATATTGTGCAGCTAAATGGAGTGCACTAGTACCAAGCTGGGGTAGGAAAAAAGATTTGACTGTAAACCTTACAGATATCAATATGAATTACACACATAAATTATTCTCTAAATAACATACCCAATCAGTACTAAACGGTGCACCTCTACTCATAAGTTCACGAACAGTCTCAATATCTCCAGTTTTTGCACTAACTAATAGCTGCTTGCCGAGCTCTACTACCGATATTGTCTCTTGGGATCTTGAACGAGGAGTGACACAAGAGAATATCTCCACCTGATAACAGTTGCAAAGTGCTATACAATATTTAAAATAAGAAATTGCTGCCATAAATTAAAATAATACATCATACGGTGAATCATTTCATGCACAGCCCGCAGCAAGGAAAACACTCACCGGTATGAGAGCATCTGGGTCCAGATCCTCAATATCATGGGCAGATATGCTTTCAGTTTGCATCTTTGTGTCTTGTGCTTAGTTCTCTTCGTGTAGATGAGTTCTAAAATGAGATTATCCATAATAGCAGTAGCAGATTTTTCCTGAATGGTTGGAGGCATCAGCACACGACTTGTTTTGAGGCGTTAGTATTTGTCGTTCGACCTTGGACCACCGAAATTGCAAGTGGGTTATAAAAATAACCAAGTTCTTTTATCAACGATTAAAACCCACAAAGCTCGGCTCAACAAAGCCCGTGGTACGCGCGATCTACCAGTTTCTCGAAATCAAATTGCATCGCCACAGGATGTTTTTATTTCGCCGTCTTGGGTAGCGAGGAACTTCCTGTTCCTGTTGATCGAACGGAAGTCCCATGCCATAGGCCCTGTGTTTCGTGCTCAAAAAAACTAGCCACATCGTGTGCAGTCCACGGGCCGAACGAAGAATTGTACTTACAACCAGTGCATTATTTTTACTTTCTCGGTGATTTATGCGGCGATCGCCCGACGGGCGCACAACTGGAATACTTCCCTCGTCACAGCCTTCGCGATTTACGGCCACGGTAAAGTTTCGTGAAAATGGCGGCTCCTTGGCGCCATTCCTAGCGCAATCCGGCTAAAGCTAATATTTCATGAATCGTTCGCCGAGCACGTTATGCGTGCCTATTGGTTATCGTATAGGGAAAAATCGATTGAGGACATATCCAATGTAAAAGATGTCATATTATTGCATTCTTTATTTTATACGCGTGGTTGGGTCGGCTTTTTCTGATTATGTATTGCAGAATTGTTTTCAATTGAAATCTCACCAGAAATAAATTTTTCCATTTTAAACATGCGAAGTTTAAATTCCCTATATTAGAATGTCCCTATTAGATTCCTTATAAAATTATTTATTTAGATAGATGTATATAGCCACGTAAATTTATGTACGCAAAGATAAACTTTTCGATGACGTGCCAATTTGAAGAATATAGTAATAACAAGATTTACTTTGTATTTTATAGAAAAGGATACAATTTTTTTAAATATATACTTGAAAAAATATTTCAAATAATATAACGAAATTAGATGCATTGTGCCCAAAATGTGTATGAGATAGGGATAATTGATTAGTCTTTAAATATCTATTTCGATTTTCCGCGCAAGCACGTCGAACGATCTCTATAAAGTATTTAGATCGGTTTTAATATAAGATGCTACTTGGCTCTCTAATTGTCTATTGTTTTTTAAACTGAATTAAAACTTAAAAGTATAATTATTTAAATGTTTCACAATTAAGCAAATTTAAATTTATGAAAGTTTTTGTTTCTCTCGAAATAATTATATATTTGTGGATAAACATTTTTAAACAAATTTTTGGTATAAGATCAATTTAGAGGCAACATCCATGTACAACAACCAGATCGGTTACGATCACGAGGAAAGGATGAAAAAGAGTAACGTCACATCGGAATAAAGTATTCGGTGACAGCAGTGATCGTTTCTCGATTTTCTATTTTTCCTCTGTTCTTCTTCTCTTTCGTTCTCCTTTTTTTTGTTCTCTCTTCCTTCGCTCGTCTTCGTCGGACTCACAGCAATGTCCGACTTATCCTCGCCCCCGTCTCGCAGCTGACCCAGAATCGCGGAGATAACGGAGCAGCAAGGTGCAACAACAATGAATCTCTGTGCGACACGAACGCAAGGTAGGACGGGAGGAGGTGTAGAAGGAAGGGAGGGACGATGCAACCCAGAAGAATGTCGCGTGTAGATGAGCAGGTAGGTAGGGTATACATATGTACACGTACATGTACCCGCGGTGGGCCAGATAGATATCGATTGTCCGCCACGGCTAGTTATCGTAATTGACATTATCACGACCGATCGTGGCATTATGTGTTAATAGAATTATTTCGGCGACATTAGGTTATTCGCATATTTGACCCCGAACAACGGGGCGGGACGGGCGCCCGCGAAATAACAGAGATAGCGGTTATCTCCTCTCTCCCCCATGGAAGTTCACAAAATAGCAAATCAAACGCGTGTATCTGATAATATATGATCTTAATGTTTACGCCGGCAACTGCTTTTCTCGTAACGTAAATTTTACCAAGAACTGTACTGTCATAAATCTTCGACCGTTCGTCGAGCGAATAGTCGAAGTATCTAGTTTTCCGGCTTTGAAAAGGATCTTTAAACTCGTAGAAAAGGGTATATTATCATTTCCTCGTATACATATATATTCTTATTCGTTTATCTTTTACTTATTTTATTTATTGCTATTTTTTTTATAGAAGAGAGAAAATTAATATCGAAATAATACGGAATTAGCTCATCTAACACACCATTAATCGTACCGACACTTGCTCAATTTGCTTATCAGAACTGATGTATTAAAGACTATCTATAACAATCGTAAAGTATGCAGTAAAACATAAATAGTAAGGACATCAACAGAACGGTTGACTTATAATATTAAGAAAATATTTTATGCCTTAAATCTTAATTTGAATTATCACTTGTTTACTTTTTTTTATATTATACAACGGTTTATCATCAATCACAAACAGAACGACTTTGAATTTAAGACCCAAGGCACAAGACAGTCGTTATGCGTTATTTAAAGACAAAGACCCGTATTCTGAACTCTCTTTTATCGACAAAAGTGTCTTAAAAATGGTCCCTCAGCCAATCAGGTGGTTTCTAAGCCGCTTTTAGAGGCACTTTCGTCGGTAAAAGAGAGTTCAGAATACGGAACGAAGACTTAAGGCATAAAACATTGTTTTAAACCGATAAAGTGAGCCATTCTGTTAAGACCCTAAGCTATTTGACCAATTGGATTTTTACAGTCCAAGAATAACCGACTGTGGTTGGTCAATTAATTTACTTCTTACGACTACTACATACTTTATGTCTACTGTAGACGGTCCTTTAATCGTATTTAAACCTGCGTCAGTACTCAACTGTTTTAACCGTGACATTAGATTTAAAAGCGCGACGATGTTTCGTGCCGTTATTTGCAAATAGTTCGGGCAGGCGTCACTACCGGCACGATCGGCGTAGCACGATTTTTTGCTCTGGTCGCGCGCAGTGGGGGGGGGGGGGGNNNGGGGGGGGGGGGGGAGTCAGCTTGTGTTTACTTCACTTCACAGTGCTTCGCGTTCGTCAGTCCGAACTGTCGACGACAATAACGTTCTCCCTTTCTTCGCGAATCTCTCCGTCGTAAGATCATCTCGGCCGTGAACAAGTCGGAAGTGACGTTCGATCCGTCGGTGACGCGTTAATTAGCGCTAATTAGCGTCGTCCTTCCCCGGTATCGGCAATATACGGTGTATCGCGTGTCTCGAGCCGGCCGGCAGTATGGCGTTCGTCTTGGATCTATCGGACAAAGGCGCAGTCTTCGCGTTATTTATCCGAAGGATCAATGCATCGCCCGCGGGATTGAACATCGGCATTATCGAGTGAACTTCCGTATTACTTGCGGTATGCCACAGCGATCAGCTATTTCTCGGTGTATGCGTTCGAGTTCGCGGTCGTCGTGTTTCGCGTCACGGGCTGGCATTCCGGTAGCGTCGCCGTGAAGTTGCCACCGAGTAATTCGAATTTTTCGCATATCGCTGCGCGTCCAATCGACGAGTGTCGGGAATGCCGTGAAAGGAGTCGAGCGACCGTCACCGTCTCGCGTCGTCTTTAGCTCGTTACAGGTGTGTCGTGAACGCAACGAGGCTGCCGTCGAGACCGATTATCGTACATCGCGGTGACAAGCGTCGCGGGATCGCAATTAGTCGCGTTTTTCCTCCCCGATCGTGTCGTATCCGCGCTCGCGAATGCTCAAGTGCAAGGAACCGGTGGGAGCCGTTGCTGGCGACGGTTATGGCGATACTTCGGCCGGTGAGTAAATTGGTTCCCGTGTCTGCGCGATTGATTGTCCAATGGTTTCGCCGGTTACGAAATTCGATGGCACGCGGGTGCGTCGCCGCGAATTAGTTAACCGGAAAACAGCGGTTTATCGAGATGGGACATCGATGCGAGTTTCCAAGTAAGTGTTTTCACGCGTCTCAATAGCGATTAATTTACAATTTTCCGAGAATCGTAAAAGTGCATACACACTTAACGAATGTGAGGTATTCGCGCAGGAACTTTCTTTAAAATCATCCGATTTTGGCCATCTTATAAGCGAATTGGCTTAAAACATTCTGTTCGAATTTGTAACGACACATGCATTTTCTAAAATGTAACAACGAAAGTTCACATTCGCTGTTCGTCCGTTGTTTGTTCTCGTGAGGCCCGTGTTCTGAGCTCTCTTTTATTAAGATAAAAGCCTTAAATGTGGCTTCTCAGCCAATCAGATGATTGTTAAGCCACTTTAGAGGCACTTTTATTGATAAAAGAGAGTTCAGAATACGGACTTTACTTTATACGCACTTTAAAGTGTCGGCATATCGTGGATGAAAAATTCGGTGGTTCTAACTTGAGCCTCGATCCGAGTCAGTGTTTTGATTAATATTTTATCTTATGCAGCGCGATCGGACATTTATTTTGCATCGAAAAGATTAACGCTACGCGTAAACATCGACTCAGACATGTGCGAACAATTAAAATGACGCGAAAGTGAAAGCAAAAAATCGCGACTGGTCTTTTGCGATTTCGCAGAAAAATCTCGCCGGTGGTGCGGCTTGTACCGACGTTGTGTCTATTTGCGCGATGCAATGCGTCGATATGCTTCAATCGAGCGGATACATTCGGGGGCCGGTATTTCCGTCTGATTATCGAAGCCCGGCTCGCCCAGCACGTTCTGCCAATCACTCGTGAGCGAATCTCTCACACGAGGGGATTGTCCGAATGCCGAAGCGGTATCTAATCTAGTGGATCATTCGAATGTCTAATAGCGATTTCGGTCCCCTGCATTAATTCGCGCCGGTGCGTGCTAAAGGCCGCCGCACTTCAAGTTATTTCGGTGTAAAAGACACAACATAAGCACCGTGTTGCTACAATGTGCTATCTTGCGATATTTAGCGGAATATAATTTGTCGGGCATGTATCTCGCCGTTAATGGTGTTTGCGTTGCGCTTATATTATACTTTTGTATTTACAAATAATTACGTACGTAAGGTACAGACGACCGAATAAGGTGAAAGTATCAAAATATCCTGGACATGTAACTAACTCTGGACATCCTTGTTAGTCTAATCTTTAGATATGAATATTCAAACTTTCAACATAGAATTATATGTGCTTATATTGAATATAAACAAATATTTTATGTTTAAAGATCGAAATAATTTTACCTTACATTATGAGTCGCCGAGTGGGAGAGAGAGAGAGTGAGAGAGAGAGATCAGAATGTCTAAAAATTCAGTACACAATTGTTCTCACATCACTCCACGATGATAATAGCATTTTGATGATAATAAAATTTTAATTTTTCGTATCCGTATTGCGATTGAAACTATTACTGTTGTATTTCGTTGAGCCCGAGCTCGACGTTACAAACTGGTGAGAATAATTTCAGACAAAAAGCGACGACAACGCGCGCAAAGAAACTATATTTGTTTCTCGTATTGGTAACGTTGAAAATTCATCTCGGCGAAATTATGTCGGTTTCAATATCTCCGGTCGGCATATACACCGTGAAAATGACGCAAGTGTTGCGGGTCACCTGACCGCGAAAAGTTAATATGACGCGACGACCTCGTGTAACTTTCGATACGCGAATTCAGGGGTTTGCTTGCGACGACCAAAGTCAAAGCCGCAGAATTTCACAAGGATGGTCTCGCGCGGCTCTCGAGCAGCCTCATTTTCAGCACATCTTATCGATGTACGAAAGCTGGGTCAGCAAGGCAATTGCACATATATAGATATACATATATATATATACATGTATATATACATATACGAGGCGCGCTATCATGTGCGTGCACCGCCACATCGCGTTAACCATTCCTTATATCGTAATCTAAGGAGGTGGCTGGCCGCACGATCGCGGGTGAGCTTGCATGCTTTCGTTCGCTTCGCGGTAGTAGCGGGTCGAAGCTACGTGTTGTAGCTTCGTGAATTTCTCACGAGGGAAAATGCACGGGCTCAACGGTGTCGCGGTTCTCGACAAGCGCTTTTCCCGCGACGGGGGGAAACAACCGGCGCTTCATACATCGCTTGTCGCCTTAAATTCTCGAACTTTCCTGGATTAAAACTTCTCTCTCTTTCTTCGTCTTCCTTTTTCGCTCTCTTCGCGGTACTTCCGGTAAACCGTTCCATAAAAATGAAACTACCTAGAAGCGCGCATATGGCGCGAGCGGTAGCAAAGGGCGGGGATCGATCGACTTCCGCGTGATGTTTTATTTAAGATGCGACCGTATCGAAGAATCGGCCGAAAACGACCCGACGATTTTTCACCTTCACCTGAAAAATTGCCGAACGAGAAAGAGAGAGAGAGAGAGAGAGGAAGACGATTTCAACTCGTCAACTCGACATGAAATAATCATTTCATTTTTTATTGTATCTATAAAAACGGCTTTTCTGCTCGATAAAAACGTTGAACATATTTTTTCGACTGTTTTTCGGGAGAGATGGAGGAAATAGAGATTTTCCAGATGACGTCGCACCTAAACAGCACGTTGGCATTCAGTTTTCATAAGTTGAAAATTCGAGGGGGTATCATGTTAATTAAAGCAATATGAAATTATAATACAACACGCAACGCACGCGCGTTTTTATTTTCCTCTTATCGATCGTGGAATGTTGCACGCGTTGATCGATAGGTTTTTTATGTGTATGTCCCGACGACAGGCTTTCCGGAAGTATTACGAAAAGGGAAAACGCCTAGTATTACGACGCTTACATTGGAATTAAGCGCCGTCGTGCGACCGTCCGTACGTGCATTCGCACACTACAGTGAGTCACGTTTTTTTTTAAGCGCAGTTTCCACGATACCTTTTTACTAGCACGCTAGCGCGCTTGCGGTTCGTAAAAAAGCGCCGAGTATTTCAGAATGCTGGCAAACTGGCTTGCCGTTTTCGTCGCCGGTCAGAGTACGCCATTTAGGAGTTAGGATGTCCCAACTCTGCGAACTGCTGCTGCCGTAGACACGTCAGTAGGTAGATTTCAGATCGTCTTAAAGTTCGAGTCTTTTAAATTAGATGAGTTAACGCTTCGAATGGTACTCGGGAGATGTTTCAATATATCTGAAAGTGTACGAGCAACACCACGTTATATATATATATATATATATATATATATATACATACGTGTAGACATATTATAAATTATTAACTACAAAGATATTATTTTAAAGTTGCTTTACTTTTTGGTGACGTTTTTTATTGTTTTATATCTTACTTGTATCAGCAACTCCTTCAGAAATGTCTTCGACATGTTAATTAAATCGCAAGCAAATATAAAAAACGATGTTTCATGCGTAACTCTGCCTAAACTCTAGCATATATTTTATTTAGAACTATCCTTATGAGAGCGAACGCGAAGTATGTTTACGGTATCGCCTTTTCCCCAGTTGCTACTTTTTCAGTATATACAATTTTGAGCAAGGGTACGATGTGAGGAAAAGAATTAAAAGGGAGCATCGTGTAAACTATGTTTTATGCACAGGGCGCGTGCATACCACGTTCGTTTCGTGCCGCGTATAGGTAGCCGTGTCGATTATTACGGCGTTTCATGCGGCGTTTCAGAAACGCGCCGCGGGATCCAGGAAGTGCCGCACGGGAAATGAGATTCTTGCGTGAACAATACTCAAGTCGGTGCTCCGTATGTTGCGCCACGAAGGGGTTCCGCGAGGAACCGAATCGGCATTCGGCGATCCGTGGAATTTACGTTTCGTTATCGTAAAAAAAGGCGCGCCGCTGTTCGCGTTTCTCAACATGCGACACGTCGAGTGTGACACGTATTTTCCAACGGCCTCGAAGTCCGCGTTTCTGTCACGTTTACGTTAATCTTATATCACGTCGAATATAGAAAAAAAATAAGATAAAGGCACATTATATTTCCGGTCGCTGCGATCCAGTTTCGAAAATGGGATCAATATTTTCTTTACGGGCAAAAAAAAATTCTCGCAAGTAACGCTCGTGCGCGAATCGTACTCCCTTCCGATCCCACCCGCGGACGACAATGAGTTTGTGTCGAGCGAACGAAAATAATTTCAACGCGCTTTTTCCGCGGACGGTCGACGTTCTCGAGTTTCCAGATTAAAATTAATCCCCCTCTCTCTCTTCCTCCGAAAACTCGCGTACTGTAATAATATAAATAATAATCAAATAGGGGAATGAATTAACAGCACGGGAGATCAATTAAGCAGTTGCGACCTCGATCAGGCCGCTGATAAATTAATAGCCGTCTACCCGGTCAGGTAGAACGAATTGGAGTTGACTGACGCGGTGTACAAGGTTTAAGAGCGACTTAAAGCCGGGAAAGTTATTTCTTCGTCTTAACGGCTCGCTTCTTCTTTTTCTCCTCTGGTCGATACGGCCCCAACTTCCGGCGCACCATAACGCCCCTCCACCAGGCTTGCATCCTGATTGCGCTACGGCGCACGTGATCCTCGTGCTCCTTTTGCCTTCTGAGCGCCTCCTGCTCCGCAAGGTATGTGTCGATGAATTCCTGGTTACTGCGGTACTGTAACACAATAACCGCCGTATCCTACTTCAGCGCGAGCTTACCGACATATATTATTGGCTTGTTGTCCCACACGAAAATAAGCACGTCTTTTACACGGGATTCATGAGCTTTGCACGCCGATCACGTGCCACTGTAGACAATGAGGAAAGAATCGATAATGACCAATGTACGACTGATGTACGATTAAAAGCCAGAGGACTATAGAACTCGCCGAAAAATTTGGCTGCGCGGCAGAGAGAGAGAGAGAGAGAGAGATATTATTGGTAGGGAAACTGTTACGTGAATAAATCGTCGTTTGATTTAACATATATTTACCTAATTTCGTTTAAAAGTAATGCTCGTTGATTTTCTGCTAGATACTCCATTCGTTAAATTTATTCGAACGTTTTCGATGAAGAAAGTAGAAACGCGAAAGTTGACCGGAGAAATAGTGCGCGCGTGCGAACGCGCCGTGGAAATCTGTTCGAGCTCTTAGTATTGCTATTAATTGAATGGTGCTTAATTGAATTGCTTAAATTGTTAATTGAAGTGCTCAAATTATCGGGTGCATTGTTAATTAGGATTAATGTACAAGTAGATTATATCAGAGAATTAATGCACAGACCTTCGATCGATATGGTTTGAGCCAGGCTCAAATGCACACCCGTCCGAAATGTTCGAGCGGATCTTGGGAGTTGCAGCATTCGAATATTCGGCTATCGATAATGATAGTCGAGACATTCCTGCAAGTCTCGGCGGACACGTGCTCTCGACGCGAATTATCGATTCTTCGGCGAAACTTCGGCGTGCCCTTTAAACTCGCGGAGGCAAGTTACTCGCGCCTGATTGCCAATAGGCTTACGGTGAAACGTGACGCGGTAAATCAGCCAGTCACACAGAGAATGCGAAATAAGACCCCGTGATTGTGCTTGTTGCCGGTCGGGATCCACTTCATCCGGCAATTAAGATTCACAGTGGCGGCCGAAATAATGAGCGGCGGAATGCAAATTGAATTACTCGCTCGGGTTTCGTCGCGGGAGAATAAAATGAAAATATCCCTCGCGGCGCACGCAAGTCGATCCGCGAGTCATTACCTCCGTTGTGAGTCCCTCCAAGTCCGCGCGAGCGTCTTCTATCTCATTGCGCACTTTACGGATCTCCTTCTCGTACATTTTCTTCTCCCGATCGTACCTACGTCGCCATTCCTCGATTCGATTCTCGATGAGCTGTAAATTCAAAGCAAATATTTTTGTTATCTCTGTAAAGGCATGTCTCGTCTTAAACTCCGTCGATGAAATTTACTCGGAGCAAATTACTTGACATTTCTCTCTCTCTCTTTCGAGGAAATATTGAATTTCGTTATTTGTATACTCGCTAGGAAAAATCGTGAAATGCTCAAATTATCGGGAATTCGTTCCGCGATGCTTTAAAATTTTTTTGCTCGAGAATATACATGTATATAGAGCGTATCGTTTGACCGGCGAGCTCGATTTTAACGACGATCCCTTTAAAGTTCTCGTCTTTTCCAGCACGTCTTCAAGCACGAGGCTATCTAAAACTTTTACTCCGCGCTAAAGAAAGAAGTCGGCGCTCACCGCTGTACGTTGCGTCAAGTAGCGCATCAATTCGCTATTCACGCAATTCTCGTTGCTTTCGCGCACGTTACAATCGTCCAGAGCCTTGGCCAGTTTGTCCATCTCCAACTCATAACGCAGTATATTCTGCTCGCGACGTGCCTCCTCCCACGCTCGGACGTATCTCATCTCCGCGTCCTTAATTAGTTTCAGCCTCTCCTTCTCGTCCTAACGTTTTGCCAACAAGTTTCGTTCAACATGACCACACTTACATCGTAGCTGAGTAATATTCAACGATAAAACTTAATGATTTATATCGCCGTTGCGTTACGCGTCCGTCCGGTAACTTATTATATTTCACGCGGCGATTGTCGATCTTACGAAACGTCGTGTTAATACATACCCGTGTCAAAGTGAGCTTCTTCGTTAAGCGTTCCTCCGCCTCCTCGTTCGACGTTTTCTCATCGGCGGTTGCCTTTCGTAACTCGGCCACGATCGTCTGCACCCTTTCGTGCTGCTCCGATAAAAGACGCTCCTGCTCCTCCTGCGACGTGATCCTCTCGATCTCCCCGATTAATACCTCGATAGTACCGCGCTCGCTAATTTCCCGCTTCAAGTCCCGTATTATATTGCCCACGTACAAACTGCAACCGTACGTCCTTTAGTATCAGCGCGAACGGATTACCCGTAGTCGAGTTTACACGCTATCGTATCGAGCAGCGGCGGATCGTGGCGGCTTGAGGCTCCGCGGCATAATCTTGTAATCTATAATAACTCAATATATATCTATATATACACATACAACCATTCCATAACGTCGTTAGAATCCAAGGAGACCTTATTAGAATTGAATTGTACAGATCAACGAGTAACAAATTAAAATTCCTATACTAATCTGTTTGGAGATACAAGTGGTTAGGAGAACGCAAAATTGAGGTTAATGCTGGGATTAACAACGTCTAAAATAAGACCAGCGAGGAATAAAAATATCTGGTAGAATGAGAAGCGCTACGGTGCTTTGTGTACTCCGTATTAATACATTCGCTTGAGTGTGATGCAAAATCAAAAGGATAGAAGTCGAAAGGGGATTTATTTATCGTCCACATCCTTGACCTGTTCAAAATTTAATTACCACGAATATCGATTTGCCCGATTATGGAACGCATCCTGGGGCATCCTTTCGATACGCGAGATTTCGTGTCTATCTGCGTGGATCCGTCGCTGCGTGGATATCAGCCTTATGCTTTCAGACGGCGTGAACAACCTGTCTTGTCGGAGCTTTTCACGCGCAGCTTCCCTTCGTGAATCCGTCATCTCCGCGGCGGCGTCTCCGGCGAGTGACTGCAGAATTGACGTTTCCGAAATCCTGCGGTGTACACAGAAACTGTCAGAACCCCCGGTTTTATTGCGCTATTCATTCGACGTACCCAATCTCGGGGAAAGCGTTTGCGGTCGCCGGCTGTCTCAGGGTGTTTTGGTAAACGGCCAATGAGTCCGCGCACTCCTCGAGGACCTCCAAGACGGCCTCGCGTTCCGCAGGCGAGAATCCGGCAGGACTGTCAGCTTCTATCGTCGCCATCGTATTTTCGCGAATTGGACCGGGTTTATCGCGAGTTCGCAAGTCGCCGCTCTCCTACGCGCGCAAGCGCGCGCTCAGATTCGTGGAGTATCGCAAAAACATTCACGAAATCATGGAAATTATTTACATTGGGAGTCAGCAGGAACGACGGAATACTTCGTAATGCAGCGTCATTTCGTGCGACGACGCAAAGCCTGGGCGCTTTCACGCAGCCTCGGCGCGTGTACACACGTACGTACGTTTTATTTCCAACATCCAGGAAATTCAATGGTGAACGTAGCCGACCGGCAGATAGATCATGTCGGTCTGCATCCGTCTGATGAGCCAATTTATCACGCGTCCGTGCGTAGACTCAGGGCGATCTCTCCGTTTACCCGTTGCTTTCGTAAATTCTGAGCTACGTCAACGGCGCAGTCGGAATACTGATCGTCCTTTTGGAGAAACGGATGCGCGATGGATGCACCAATGAATGATCGATTAAAACGATTTATTTGCCTCAGGTATCAAACATAATTTAAACCTTGCGAATATATATATACCACTGTCTCACGTTAAATGAGAAGAAACGATATAGAAAAAAGAAAAGTAATGAAACGTGTTAGTATTCGTTTTTTTTTACATGTGCAGATAACTATTAATTTTTCAGCAAAGAATAATTTATAAAACATGTTTTGTAATATTTATTTTCGTTTTTCTCTTATATATACACTGAAATAAAAATGGCATTTTCCAGTAATATTTACTTAATCCAAGCAAAAAATGGCTCCAATACGCCTCAGCAGATATTTACTTGAATGTAACATGTTTTTTTTTCAGAATATGTATATATTAGCTTATAAATAATTAATTGTACGATAATTATAACTTTCCAATATTGTGCTCTCATATTTCCGGAATAATGGGATTACACATTATTTCGTATAACAACGCAAAAACATACATCCATTGGTCACTCGTTGGTGCACGTAACGAACGCCGAAAGCAGATGCCACTGTGCGCGTGCGGACAGTCAGTTGTTCGTTAGTCGTAACGAATAAACGGATACTTTTCGCGGTGTTGATTATTGCATCGGACACGGACGTTACGTCAGTCTGTACGGAGCGCGCGGCGGTGAATGAAAAAAAGAGAGGGACGAGCGAATTCGGTGGTTCGGCAAATCCACAGAACGAGCTTAAACAGTTTGATCCATTACCGCGGGCTGCCGTGGAAACGAACTCGGCAACCATGGACATTAAAGCGGTAGTTGGCGCTAAAAAAAGAAGGAGAGGCGGGCGGGTCATCGCGTAAAGAGCTACCGGAGCAAATGAAGAGGAGGAAGCATTCGCCGAAAGGATCACTTTCATAATGTCAAAAGCGCAGAATACAATTTCCGAATGGCGCGTGACGTTTTTTAATCTAACTTCGGCCGAGTCGCCGCGAGAAACCGCGAGCGCAATTTCGTTAACATCGGAAAACGACAATCGCGGAGAAAGGCCGGAGTTTCGTTTTAATGCATTCGCAACGTGCACCGTCACGTGATCGGACACACACTCGCCGAACGCGATTCCGCTTCTCGCTCGGAAAACTTCGAAGAGAATCTCGTGAGGAAAGTTCCCATCCTTTGAGTGTGCAGACATTTAGCGCGGGCGTAGACGAAGCCAAGTGCATCTTGGCTTACACGAAGCCGAGGAAATGTACCGTGTAGTTTCGCCGCAACGCCACGGGACGCCTGTCTCGTATCATCGATTTTAAGTGTTGTGAAATCTTTCGCCTTGCTCGCTCGTACAATGGAAGATATATCGCTGTCTCTCTTTCGTTATTAAACAAACTCGTCGATTTTACAAACCAGCGTTGCTGCGATTCGATTGTGCGATTCAACGATAAAACATACTCGTGTACAAACGTTGTCCGCAGGATAATGGACAGGCAGGACGTGCAGCGCGTTGAGCAAAGAGACGTGTAAACTGTCGAGTATACGCGGCAATACAGTTCGCAAGACAGGATCGCGGATAAGCCGCGATTCGATGCGGCGTGTTTCACATTTAAAACCTTACGCGAAGTCTTCGCGGACGATATTTACATAAGGAAAGGGAAATCGTGGAAACTCGATAAACATCGTNTGGGGGGGGGGGGAGCCAGCGCGCACGCGCGCGCGATTCGGTTCTTCATCAATTATTCCGCTCCCATGGGCGAAGCGAATGAAAATCGAAAACAGTTAAATTGATACCGACATAATTACTATCCGATCGCGTTAAAGTCCCGCGGAGGCGCCCGTGGAAAGCGAAAAAATCCCACGGGCAAAAAACCGAAGGCAAAAAAGGCGCGCCAGCACGTACCAGTTTGATTGGAAAAGTTTCTCACGTCGGGAGGGGACTTTAATCGAATCTGCATTGCCTACAAAGAGGGTCCTTCGCGGCCCCTCGGGCTCGCTCTTGTTTAACGTAAAGGGCACCGGATCGTGAATTCGCGAAAACAAGGTGATGATGTCGCCCGTTACAATGATGCCCGTCGAATTTTGTCGAGTTCCCGGCCCGCTGGTGTAGAGCTATGCGCTGCGTCTTTCCGCGCGTAGATACGAGTTGTTGTGCTCTGTAGTGATTTTCGGAACCTGTGTCGATTAATCACGGGTTGACACGTGGCAAAACACCACATGTCGACGAAACTTCACCGGTAAGAACGGGCTTGGCGAGATGCAAAGATTAGACGAAGAAAATGTCAAGTGCGTGAAATATGATGTTCCGCGAGATGTGCGAATGGTGTTATGCAAAAACGAATTAATCCGTTAGGTCAATAGTCTCGAGTAAATTAAATGCAAAGTGTATGTAAACGCTTTCGACGCGATAGCTTCGGATCTAGATTGCCTCTGGACGTCAAAGGTGTGAACCGAGAAATTGAATATTGCGCAGTTATGAATTTCTAGCGAAATGAGAAATTATAATTTAAACATTTTTCATTTTTTTTCTTTCATTTGCTGCACGTTGCAATTCTCTTATAATAAAACTACTGAACAATTCTCTGATATGCAATAAGATACGCATAAAGGAAATTCCCTTCCATTCCTTACCGAGTATTTAATAAAGTTCACACACATACACAGAAGTATCAAATTTGTCACAAGAAACATGAAGTAATTAATACATTGAGAAACAGGACACAATGAGGCGAATCCAAAGATTTTTCACCCCCCTCCTCTCCTCAACTTCCATAATCCCATTTAATCGATTTTGACGAATCGATTCCTTCCAATTAGCTTATCCATACAGAAAGGATTAATATCAATCGTCGTATTTTCACGGGACACGAGAGAAAACGTCAACGTGGAAAAACGTGACCCTTTTAAAATATGTACACACCCTGTGTAACGAGAATCTGGTATAAAGTCCCCGTGGGTTATTCCCTCGCGTTTTCTCCGAAGTAACAGCAACTACGCAAGGGTTGCAGCTGCAAACAATAAATCAAATCCGGGGAAGAGTTTGAAAAAAAAAAAAAATATCGACTCACACCACTCTGTTGTTTCGTCCAACGGTTCCGACACGGTAATCCCATTCAAGATGAGGGTAAGGACGCACCCTGTCGGCTGTTATCACAGTCCGTAGTGGACCTAACCCGCACGAAGAGAGAGAGAGAGAGAGAGAGAGATAGTGTACACGCGCGACGTCGTCGTCGGCCACCCCCGACGTCGCATCGCGTCGGGGGTGCGCTTGCGTGTTCTCGAGGCGGCGTCGCGACGGCGCGTTCCTGCCGCGCCCGATGTGTGGCGAGGCGCGAGGGCGGTGTCGGTGGTGGTAGCAGCGAGAGAGCGCCGTTCTCTACTCTCGTGCGCTCCTCGTCGCCGTCGACGCGCGTCGCGGCGCTCGAGAGCGTTCCCTCACGGAACACCTCTATCTGACCGTTCGCGGCGATCCTCCGCTACACCGCTCCGGTGTACCGTTCTGTTCCGGTGTACGCTCCTCCGGTACGTCCGTATCGGGCCTCGAAGCACCGACCGTCGACGGAATCGACGAGAGTAAGAGAGACGGAGAGCGTGCGCGCGCGCCTGTCTCGTTAACGACACGTCGCGCCCGCTGTTCACGCGTGCACGTCGCGACGCCTCGCGACTGCTCCACGGAGGACGTCCTCAGGGATAGCCCGCGGTGGAGCGCGTAAGGTTATAATCCTGCCCTGTTGTTGTCGTCGTCGACATCGTCGCCGTGGGTAGTGGTGGTACTAGTGCCGGTGCTGGTGATTGCCGTCGTCGTCGTTGCGGTAGCGTCCAGAATTGTTGTTGTCGGACGCAGCTTGCACAGGGGGTGAGTATCGGGCTTAACCCTTCCGTCACTGGCTCGTTCAATTCATCCTGGCTCGTTCGCGCGTTCTGCCGAAGACGCGGGCCGAGTAGAAAGAAACGACGCGCGTGGAGGGTGCGCGAGTATTTCGAGGGCGCAGCGCTTTAAGGGGTTAACTGGCTGTTCTCTCCGTGTCCTAGCGAGGGTTGTCACGGGTAACCTACTTGGCAGTTTTCGCAGCCCCTCGTGTTTACGTCGCGCCTCTCTCCCTCCCCTACCTTTCACCCTCGCTGTCTCTCTCTCTCTCTTTCTCTTTGCGTGTGTGTGTGTGTGTGCGTTTCTCTCTTTCTCTCCTTGCCGCCCCGTGTCTCGTTCCTTCTTTTACTCGGGCGAGGGTGGTAAACACGCGCTCAGCAGAAACGTCGATCAGTCTCACGGACGGCATGGGGAGAGAATCCCGCCTGCGAAATAAGCCTCGGCAAGTCGCGTCTCAGTTGAGTTCTCTCCACTTGGTTGTCTTCCTGTTCGATGAGAATTAACCAGCGGAAATTGATATTGGGGTGTATGTATATAGAGAGTCTCGCGACGAATTCGCGGACTCCCGATGCTGCGAGACGCACGAAAGTGATCTCTGTGTTTACTTGCGACAATCGAAATGACGATTGACGTGGGAGAAAATCAAACAGAGGATAATTGCGACCCGGAGATAAATTTTCGCGATGCTTTCCAGTGATGTAACGTAGCCGTCGCTTCCTAACGATCTCGCGTCATCCCGTAAACAAGTCTCGTTGTGATCTCGTTAATAGTTTTACGGGCTGAAATACTACGCTCGTAATCGATAAAAATTACTCTGACGACTTAATTTTGTGTTTTTATGCAAACGCGAATTAACCCGGATGGAGTTTGTTCGAAAATGAGTTGTATGTGCAGGTGGTACTTATAATGTGGAAAAAGAAACAAAGGGAGAAATCTATTTACAATCACCGCTCGTTGAATTAACTCATTTTTGCGGTACGTCATCCAATTGTTTCGACTAATCCTGTATTCATCGGTATCGTAAATGGTCGCTGAAAATCGCTGAAAATGGTGTGAACTCATCGAATTCACATCGATTCCGTTCCGTGATTAGCAATTCTGTTAATCACTGCTAATCTAGATGTAACGATAAATCCGCTTGTCGATTCATGTCGTACGCTTCACCGGAAAAATGGTCGTTTTTATCGGTCAGTTTAGCGGGAGCATCGTGCCGCGAATATTCGTCTAACTTGCAGCAGTTTAATTAACCGTGGCTCGCGCTCCTTCTTCCTTTCTCTCCCCATTATAATCTGTCAAGTACTATATCTGTCAAGTGTATGTTTTAAAGTTACATCGATTAATTTCATCCTCATCCCCCTATTTTTTCTCATTTTCTCCCACTGTAGCTGTTGTTAATTAAAATGTAAACACATTTTGATGTTATGTAAGATTTTTGACCTCCAAATGTGAAACATACTCTATTCTATCCCAATCCGATCTATCCTAGCTTTCTCGAGAGAATCAATGGTATATCAATCGAGATTCAATTAACGAATCACCATTTTAATCGAATTTCCTTGCGGCATACGCGTTGTAAGAGACACTTGACTTTCCCGTTTTGCGACCGAGTGCTTGGTTTACATATGCACCTGCTATGAGCATTTCTGGTATTAAACTGCTCCTTTCATACTCGATACCAACAAACAGAGTCGCACACAGATTATCTTCTTTTCCCATAAACACGACGGATTTACAGAAACAAAAGGCTCACACGTTTACGCGCTTCTTTCCTTGGCGACGCTTCCTCGTGAACGTTTTCTGAATTTTATACGCGTCGCCACTCACTCTCGTTTAAGAAGTTGGAGATGGCCGCCGTGTGACGTTTAAAAACAAGTACAGAGTGTCCCGGCAGCCTCGATTTTAATTTCTACACGGAATTTTTAAGCCAGCACGAGAAGAGACACATGTTTTCCTAATTAAATTACCCTGAAAATATACGTCAAAGAGATTTCGCAACAAATAACGGTCTCGGTTGCAATTTTTTTCCGAAGAAGATATACAGAGTGTCTCAGGGCGATGAACTTCGTGAGGAAACAGATTGAGATGAGCAAAAAAGTTCTTTATTATTTTGCAAACAACTCGTAAAATTTCGGGTTATTAATTAAATTATTGAAAATTGTGCACAATGTCATAATGTATACCAAAAGATCGGCCAGAGCGTGGCTGGTCGTCAAGGTGAAAATGATCATGTCTAAGTTGTGTATATATAACAATCAATGGCGCTACCATACAACTCTCCTAATGACATCTGTTGGAATCGGACACGGACTTTTGCACTCATCCAATATCTAACGACAGACATCAGTATATTGAACCTTGAACCTCGAACCTTGAACCTGTTGTCAGGTACAACAGCTGTCATATATTTGTAGATTAGGCCAGCTGAACAAAAAAGTCTTTTTGCAAATAACACGCAAATTTTCTAGTTACTAATTAAAGAAGCTTCTGTACATGGCCATTTTCAATGATTAATAACTCGAAATTTTGCGCGTTGCTTTGCCAAATATAGAGAACTTTTCCGTCCACTTCAATCCGTTCTACGCTTTCTACCCCTGTTAGTTTGGGATACCCTGTATAGCAGTTTGTTCAGAAATACATAAAAAAAATGAGTTCGGAGACAGGCTGGGCATTCTGTTTGGAAGTAAATGCGCTCGCGACTCCGATAGCAGCGTAACGTTTCGCGCCACGTCGCAACGGATGTCGCGTTTAAGGGAAACAGTCAGGAGCCCCGTGTAAATCCAGAACAACTTAATGGCCGGCTAATTTATCGCGTTAAGTAAGCCTGACAACGTGACAGAGGCAATTCGCCGCGATCGTCGTCGTGGGAATTCGGAATTGCGATTTGCAGCACGTGAGCGGCGAACCAATCACGCGCGGCTATTATTTACTGGGCAGTAAAGCTCGCGCGCGCGGCTAAGGAGTTTACGCGCTAAAGACGGATTTCATCGCTTTCGCATGAAATCCAGTTTAATCCTCGTAAAATTTTAACGATTACTCGCGCGTGTGTATATGCGCGTGTATCACCATGATTGAATCTTCTATAAAATCCCGTTGCGCTGCGCCGCCATAAATCGCGAATTTTTACGGTGGTACATTTAAATTTATACATTAAACGCGCGCGTACATACATTGATCGGTATGTCACGGCTAAACGATATATGGTAAGTCTCGTGTATGTATTTTTCACTCTCTCTTGTTATTTGACTGAAAAATGCCGGCGCGATCATATTTTTGCCGACGTTCGTACTTCCGCCGGACGTTGTTACATCCCGTTAATTTATATTAATGTTCCAGAGACAGAACTCCGCGTGTAAGAGTCCGTATGTGTGTATAAATCAACAGAGTAATAGTACGTTCGATCGATATCGACAGAAGTGCAGCTTCAGTTGCTCTCTTTCCCTTTGGAGACGCCGGGGTTTGATCAAATGAAGTCGTTCAAAGGAAAACCGCGTTCAACACTTATCGTCGTCGTCGTCATCATCGTCGTCGTCGCACACGCGAACATTATATGCGTATATGGCTCGTGTTTAACGTCATTCTGCGGGGATTTCATTTGCGCGAAATGTCGACCGTAAAGCGCCTCCGCCGTTGGCCCTGGAATTAGTAACAGCGTTTCAGGGAAGTGCTGAACACGCCGCAGGAATGAAATGATTAAAACTTTCATCGCCGCCCCCCTCATCAGCATTGCTGCGCACTTGTCACGGCAATAAGGCGGCGCGAGTACGCTCGCGATTTCAACTCGAAACCGCGAAGGAATATTAAACATATACGAAACATCCGATATAATCGGAGATAAAAGCCCGAAACCGAACTGGTAGCTGAAAGCCCGAGAGGAACTTTTCGCGGACGTTTCCGAAGTCCTCAATCGCCGATTTCCGAAATTAGGAGTCTAATAGCGTAGAACCGAATCGCTTAATCGCGTTTCGTTCATTCTGCGCGACAGTTCGCGGATCGCCGAGTCTCGTGCGTGAGGACAAAACATCACAAAACATCACTCAAAGCCAGAAGCTATTTGCATTAAGGTTTTTTTTTCTTTCTCGAAAGCGCAGCACACAATCGTTCCTCTAGTATAATTCTGTGTTCGTTCGTTTTCTTTTTTCTCAATGTTAATCCTCCTTTCTTCCCTCCGTGAAAGGCCAAAGCTTCGGACGGTAGGTTGTTGTTTCACGCTCTTATTAGCTTGTCGAATAAAACGAGACGCTCCTTTAATGTCGCTCGAGGTGTATTGTTAATTGCTTCGCTCTACGGCCTCCGCTTTGAATAAATTGTTCCTTCCGGTGGGAAATAAAGCGCTTTCATCCGAACCGGCGGCGTGCTTCTTCCTTTTTTTGTTCTGCCTTCTTTTTTTGACGCGGATAGTGTGAGGGGTCGTGTATACAATATTATCCGGCGAGCTTCCAAAGAATGTCGTGCAATTTCGAGGGCACAAAGGCCGGCTAGGAGATATCGTTGAAGTTCACCTCCTTCCCCCCGCGGCATCAGAAAATCTCATCGTACGAAGTTAAAGGATGTTCGTTTAGCGCGTAATGTCGAAATGTCGTCTCGACATGCCGAAAGTCTTCCCTTTCGCTTCGCGCCGCCACGATTTGATTTCCTGTCGGTGTCTTTGGATTTTCCGATACGGCGTACGCTGTCATGCGTATTTTACGTCTCTTTGTCGATACAAAAGTCGCGTTCGTGCCCGGCAAGCAGACACGCCGGTGGCCGATAAGAGCCTGAATATGCTTTCACGATAAAAGCCAATAGCCCCCCTGTGCGAGAATCTTCGTGTGTTGCTTATCGACTTACAGCCTCGGAAAATGGCAATGGCCGCTCCTGTCGAGGAGCAAACTGTCGTCGTTAGAGGCGACGCCCTGTTATCCGATAATAATATTCATCGAGGGTGCTCCTCGATTTCATCAAAAGTCGATCAGCGCCCGTGAAAAACTCTCGATGGCCCGATTCGCGCG